CGCCTGCCCGTGACGTGAAGTCACTGACGGACGGACGGACATGACGAGCACAATAGCGCCTTTTTTCCATAAATGAGAAAATGCGCTAAAATGGCTCGACCTAGCAGAAAGCGCTGGCTATATCAGCTGATATCGAGGATCCTATTACACACAAAATAATGTGTTAATCAATATACTCGTACTGGCTTGGGGCTACACTTCACCTCAAATAGAATCCAGAACTCCTTATCTCAGCAGAAGCTTGACAAAAATATGTGCACTGTTTTCCTGAAATTATCTTAAGTTAATTTAGTTACGTCCGATAAAATAATAACAATGATTTTTTTCAGCGAAACCAGATCTGCTTTCTTATATAAGAGAGACTTGCAGAGCAGAGTATCGACGTAAAGAAAACTATAGCAAGATTACAAACAAACTTTCAATAGAGTATGTGGAACAGGTGAATCCGCTTTGGATAAGGAACTTGGTGAGAAAGTTTGAGCTTTCGATGCAACTAGTTTGATTTTTCAGAGAAAAAGCGCTGAATTTTACGCAGACAATGAATTGTTTTCTCATAAAAATCTCTCCCTCTATCTGCAAATTAAGGCGTACAAAAAATTCGGAGTATATAATGGGCGCTGCATAACGAACTTGAAGTTGTCGGTGACCTCCCAGTGAAAGTACAACATATGAGTCCTTTCTTTAGTAATTTTTTATTCGTTTTGCGAATGAAAAATGCATTTTCGATGGCTATCTGACAGGAACATGGCTATCTGACAGTACCTCTACGTCTATCCATCACTAATAAATCGTCATAAGGAAAGAACGCTTGTCCCAAGTTTGACCAAACTTTATATTTAAAATTCGCAATCGATTGTTCAAGTTGAGTTAATAATAATAATGGTGCTTTCAAAAATCTTCAATATGCTGCAATAATAAATCTAAATTGCTTGAATGAAATCAGGCTAATTATAAGCTAAGGAGATGAGCACATGAGAAGCGACTTTTCATACTAATGGCGTTCTACATTGCCTAGAGGGAGGTTACCTGTAGCATGAACTACTTCAGAGGAGGTAAAGCTTACGGCGTACGAGATAATGCCTTCCTTCTTGGTAATTTGTTAGCACTACATCAATGTTGACATAGATCTAGTAAAACAAATGGCTAAGTCAATAGCAGCTCGCATATGAAAGTTTCTATAGGCTTATAGCAGTGAACTCATGTCTGCATGGTGTTCGCCGCAGGAAAGTTGCATTGTACGATTAGCGCCGCTCATCAGAGGATGACCAGAGTTCCCTCGTATACCCATCCTGATGATAGTAAAAAAGTGGTTCATCAAGCTCTCCTCCTCAAAGATTACTTTCGAACTTTCTCGATACAGAACCTTCTCCGTCGGAGAACCCGTTCTCGTCTCGAGCAAAAATAAAGAACAACTCATCAATTTCTTCAAGACTGTCGATCTAAGCACCGACCTTGCCTGTCTGCTGATTGAATACCGGTGCGCACTGTTCAGAAAACTGAAAGTAGACCAGTTTCAACGGCACGTTTTTCTATAAAGTAAGAAAATGAAGATGGCTCTCATCTCATCTTGTTTGACGACGCGCTTGACGTTGTTTTTCATTTGTTAAAAACTAATTACGATGCAGCCTTTCCACCCGGATCTCGATCCAGTTCGGTGCAGATGGTCAAATTATACAAAGCTGTTTACAAAGATTAGCCAAAATTCAATCTTATTTATCACAATGCCATCATTTCGCAATGTAATTACTTTCAGTAAAATCTTGAAAATATTCTTGTTTGTGACTGATATACGTAGTTCGAATTCAGTAAGGGGAAAACTTGAAAGTAAAAGTCGAAGATATGTGTGATAGATTTTTCGGATCTTTTTAAGAATACGCACCCCAGACGTTACTAGGGTGCGTATTCTTAACAAGAACTTTACTGAGCTGCGTTCTCTTAACAAGTTCATACCGGGGTGCTTAAGCCTAACATGATCCGATTTTTCACCTTGAATTCGTGTTTGTGCTCTGTTTCATGATAAAAATCCGAATTTGCCGAAAATTTGGGCTCCAACACAGAAATTAGTGGATTTTTATGACACTGTAATCACTATAGAGAGTTGGGCTAACGTTTCGACATTGTAAGTGGTCATTACGGATTGCTTGCGGCACTCCCTTTCACTGTCTGATCGCAGGCAGCGCGTTTGCAGGGATAGTGAATGAGGCCTATAGGCCAGTGAATGAGCCCTAGGCTAGTGCACTCGGGCTAGGCTAGTGTATGAGGCCCAGGATAGTGCATGCGGTCAAGCTTGAGCACGTGACTCAGGCTAGTGAAGGCGGCCAGACTATATAGTGAACGCGGCCTAGGCTAGTGCACGGGCCCGAGCTAGGAGACGCGGCCCAGGCTGGGCCCGAACAAGGGGACGCGGCCTAGGCTAGTGCACGGGCCCGAGCTAGGAGACGCGGCCCAGGCTAGTACACGGGCCCGAGCTAGGGGACGCGACCCAGGCTAGTGCACGGGCCCGAGCTAGGGGACGCGGCCCAGGCTAGTACACGAGCCCGAGCTAGGGGACGCGGCCTAGGCTAGTGCACGGGCCCATGCTAGTGCACGCGGCAAAGGATAGTGCACGCGGCCAGACTATATATAGTTTCGTACTGGAAGTGTGGTCGCGTCTGCAGCGTTTTTTAACCACGAGCATCCTGGTATTTAGCTTATCGCGAAAGTTCGATGACCCATATAATTGCCGGTCTGCAAACTCTGAATTTCTTACACTCCGAATCTTAAAAATAGCGAAGATTTTTAATTGTTATATTTATGAAGAAAGCTTAACATTATTGCTGTTATTATTAAATTGGTTCATAATATCAGTGAAATAAAAAACCGTGTTTGAAATGAACCAAAAACGAAGATTTCGGTTAGATAGAACCGAAAGCTTTCATTTACAGGTCCCAAAAGGAAAACGAAGGTTTCGCTTTTGAGGAGGAACAGAAATTGGTATGAGAATTTCTTCTGAATTTATGTTGTAAATATGAGATATGGCCGTAAATTCCAGGATAAATTACAAGTACTTCATTGAAAATGCACACAAACGTGTGATTGAATCTAGTTCCTTGTTCTTTTTTTCTTCTCTTTCTCTTGGTGATTTTCAATTGGCTTTGAGTAAATAGTATGACAGAACAAGGCCCGTAGAAAGACTATCAATACATTTCACAACTCGGTTCGGGCACCGAGTCAGGTAGGCATCTTGTGAAATTAGTTGAAAAACAAGAGGTTGTACGTGGGAAGACACGTGTGTGTCTACTTCGGTAGAACAGCTTTTACAAGAGAGAACAAAGAACCTGCACAACAAATACCGGCTACTGATATAAAAAGGGTTATTTTTGGCACCTGAATGAATTTACCGCAAGTTTTTTTATAATTAAACCGGTTAATTTTATCTAGTTCATTAAAACCGGTTGATTTTATTTAGTTCATTATAAAGAGTATAAATTATCTAGCTCGACCGGGCTGATCTGCCACGTGCTGCAGGGACCGTCTGAGCACGTGACTTCTTTAGGCAAGTGTTGCCCCAAATCCAATTACAATTTTGAATTAGGTTTGTTCATTTTAAATAATTTATGAAATCAAAAAAGCTTGAGAAAGAAGATATTTGTAGCTATAATCAACGAGGATCCTTCAGTGCTGCAAAATATATGAAATTGTATAAACAATGCTATAGAACGCCTCAAGTTAGTAATCTCAGCAATGCTATAGAGTGTCACAGGTTAGTAATCTCAGCAATGCTATAGAGTCGCCGGTTAGTTAACTGAGCAGGGATGACACGTTGTAGTAGGGAATCACTTCCATGTACTGGCCACGATTTAATGTCTACTGTACCTTGCGATGTCAAGTTAATCTGACCAACCAGCAGGACTGAAGGTAGTCATGGCTAACGTTATCCAATATTCAGTCGTATTCATGAATGAAATCCTACGTAACCAAATTGATATTGCGAGGCAGCAGCAGTCTGCATTTATTGTAAGGAAGAAAAATTACTTTTAATAATCACGTTTGCTCTTTGTACTATTCAATCACAGAGGAGATACGCGATTTCTTGCTAAACCTAAATACAGCTAACTTGGAAAAGAAAACACACCATGAATGAATACAAACAACACAACAGACACTTCAGCAATTGCAAGAAATACTCAATTTTAATCACAGGTGTCGATTTGACGATTCGTGCGTGGTTCGGACATTTTTCCCCAGCTAATACAAAGACACATAGGCACATATGCGGTTCTCCCTCGTTGTCAAATTTATCCACAATTTTTCCGCTCTTCTAATAATCGAGATCACTACTGACAATGAACCAGCAACGTTGTGGATGATGGGGCTTCAAACAGGACCAGCGCCGTGGCCAAGTATGTCCAATAATCTCTATCTTAATACACAAGAAGTGCTGTCTCAGCTGCCTAAACAATCTTCATTCAGGACGCTGGATTCATGTAAAAACGATCCACATCAACATCATCGTAGGACACTTCAGCCTCAAAGTCCTCATTTCGGTTTTGTGGTACAGCAAAATTTATACGATTTATTAATTCACCGGCATATCGTTGTCACTATTCTGAGCCTTAATTGATGGTACAGATGTCCAGGACAACGTGACGAAGGAAACAATGAAAATTTACGTAACTGCTGGTTACGTCCTCCTTTGTTTCTCTTTCAGTGCCATATGATCTCTCTCTGCTGATCTGCGATCGTCTTTCTCCTCTTTCACATTATAAATGTCATGAGCCTTATCTCGACATAGGTGCAGAACACCATAAAAATTAAAATGCATGTTTTCGAAAACTAAATAATTATGAATAAACAGTTTGCTATGAACGTATCTTGCTAATTTCACATGAACAGGAAATTTTAATAACCAGAATTTGACAATTTTTCTAAATAAATTTGCCAAAAATAATTTGATATTTATGCGTCAAACTTACAAAGAAAAACACTACAACACATCGAGGCTGGTCTGCGTGTTGCAGGTGTTCCCCGCACGTAAGATGTCACCCGAGCAACACTCGCGGGGCTGGGGGATGAGGGTAGCCCTCTTGCTGGTCCTAGTCACCCTCAACGTGAACGCGCGGCCCCCCAGCGCCCGTATCCTGCCCAGGATCCCACTCGGTGAGTCGTAGTTTTGTACATGTGAATATTCTGCTTTATTATTACACTTGGGAGACGGAAAATTCACTCTTTTTTACGCTAATCAATCTTCGGAAGATATATTCTAAATAATCATTGTTTATTTGATTATTTCACGTACTGGTCATATTGTAAATTTCGTACCATCTTTTTAGTCAGGAATCACTAATTTCTTTACTTTTTACAGTCGATTTTCTCCCGCACTCGTTTTTTCAAATGGAAGTTGGATGTTCATTGTAAATGTTCATTGCGGATGTTCATGTTCATTACTAATTCATCCTCGACACCTTCTCGAGAAGTAAAGACGCATCGCTATTGTACGCCAATGTTTATACATTATTATTTCCTACACACTACGAAGGGAATGAATACAAACAACACAGACACTTCAGCAATTGCAATAAATGCTCAATTTAAATCACAGATGTCAATTTGCAAAATAGTCTGGAAGCGCTTGGGTCGCAGCATGATAACCTAGAACGAAGCTTGCAACACATCGAACGCTTATACCTTAATTGTGTCCAGTTAATTTCAGTAGTTTGATACTAACTTGCTTGAAATTAACGCTTTAACTACACCTGACATGGTAACGTTTTTCTTTAATATCCAATTTGCTGGCAACTTAATTACAGATGCAGAAGGAGGCTGGACTTCTTACGAAGGATCAGCCGATAGCATCCCTGGCTGGACTGTCATCGGTGCTCCAGATCCTACCGAGCTCGCAGGAAAGTTGCTACGCAAACTGGCTCGTTCAGACTCTTCTAAACCAGACATGGCATCCAGCATTCAAGATAGCGAAGACATGATATCTTCGAAAACAACAACCAAGTCATCACAAGACGATCTCCTGAATCTGAAGAAAGTCCATCTTTCTAAAATTTTCGAGCGTCTACCAGAAACAGAAACTTTGTCTTCCGGCTTCACTTACGGCGTCGCTGACGACACTGAGCTTTACCACGCTGCTCAGATGGACGGGTATATGAAAGAGCTCACTAACATGCTTAAGGATCTGACCTCAGTGCCTCAAGATTCTCCTGTAACTACAGGAATTTTGGTGCCAGACTTGCCTTCTGCAGCCGAGAACTTAACGATATATGTCCACGCAACGACACCGCCCCCGGGGGATGACCCCACCGAGGCTCCCTCCACTGAAGGCGAGGGTAATGGGCCAATGGCTATGCTTCTTACTTATGTAATCTGGTCCAGCGCTGCATGATATATTTGTCTGTGTCTCATTTTCCAAATTCTGACAAATCTTTTTCAGTTGAAGAAGATTTTTACTGATTTTTTTTATTAAAGACTGCTCTTCCCCGGAATCTTGCTCTTTGCATGCCAGAAACAGGACTCAGCTTCGTATTTTGCATGCCAGACGCTTAAAACAGTTTAAATAATACATTAATGTGTACGGAGCTGATCGTACCACCCTTAAGCGATGGATTGACGCATTGGCTCATGCATGCCATAAAGCGGGCTACCCTCAGCAGGTGGCTCAGCTAGGGAGACATGGCGGCTACCCTTGACAGGCGGGCTATTATGGCGGGCTATTATACGCAGGCGGCTACAAGAGATAAATTTTGATAATATTTGGGCGAGCTCGAGCGAACAATTAAAATCCAAAACTCTTTTGTCCTCTAATATGAGGTCGTCACCAAACGACCTCAAATTTCGAATATCATACAAGATTTTGTCAGATAGGTCTGATGACGCTGGCTAAAATAACAAAAATGAAGATCCGTTGTCTATTCTTGAAAGCAAAAGTGACGCATGGGCAGAAATGCAGCGTGCCTGCATGCCGCAAGGTAGCAGTTGGTGTTTTAATATTTTAAACCAGTTGTTTTTTGTTTGTGCATGGGCGAGACTGAAGTTGAGTCTTAAGCTAATACCATTTACAACTCGTATAAGGTAACGGGCTGCCGGTGTGTAGGACACAAAACTGCAGGTGTTTTAACGCTTTTCACTTACTCTATTTTTTTACTGATCTCATCAGTTGTGCAATTTTGACCAACTGTACTGGCCAGTTTGGGGGGTAGAAGTTATTTAAAGTCTTCGAACGCTGTCCACACTACGTCCGTATAAAATATTTATTGGAGAGCACCCTCGGTTCCATAAGGTATACAAGTATTTAGTTATAAATCAATGAGTTGAAATCATTACCGATCATGAGCAGAATTAGATCGAACTTTCTTGTCTATAAAGTTTCGATAGCTATGTAAAAAGATCATATGCTCATAGCTAATAAACATGATAATATGCTGTTTACATGTGCAGCTAATATTTCACGGTGAGTTTTATAAATGTGGCATTAATGAGATCCGTTAGCATTTCTTCTTGTCACTGCTGTTCTGCTGGTGCATTGCTAAGAGAATATCTGTAGCATGGTGGTCATTTACAATAATACTTATATCAAATTTTCATTATATTTCACCCATTATATTATCATATCATTTCGATAATAATGGTGGAAGGGTCATTAGAATTTTTTTCTGATTGCAGTGTTTGTCAAAGTTCATTTTGAAGTAAGTCTATTGTTCAACATGAATAATGCGAGGAAAAATGATGTCAATTACCTGATTCATTTTGTCAATTACCTTTATTAACAATACTGTTTCACCTAGCAATAATTTCTCATAATGTTTCAGACTTGTGGTTTGGATCGTCTGGGGGATCTTCGTTGGGTATCACAGATGCTGCTCAATTCACCACAGCACAGCAGCAGACGACAACAACGCTCAGCCCTACGCTACCAACACAAAGAACAAATAATATAACACCAACTGAAAATAATAACAGCACAACAGAGTCAATGTCAACACAAAACCCAGTGCGAACCAATGAACTAAACACCATCGTGAACAACGGCAACACCACGACGACAACATCAACAGAAAACCCAGTACGAACTAATGACTCTACCGCTACCGATGACAATGAGGAAGTTTTAGCTCCATACATTGCTTTCAATATCTGGTCATACGACAATGGCGAACTGAAACTGTCAGCAGTGAAGAAGGTTCTAGCTTCAGAAGTCCTCGGAATGGAGTTCTACTCGAAAATAACTGAAAACCCGAATAATACGACCTTTCTACTCTCGGACTCGCTCGTCTTCAGCGGTCAGGGACCTCAAACTTCTACTGCTCTTCCCATTACTACTGAAATTGACAACGAATCTCCAACTCCATCGGTTCAGAACAGTACGACCTTTATGGATGCGCTAGCGGCATCAGTTGGGGAGCTTGGACTATCATCAGCGGACCGAGAACTCCTGGAGCATTTGCTCAACTCAGCCAACACCATCCCGCAAACATTTCAGGCTCCTATAAATAATCTTTTCGATTTTGTTTCCTACATCGTAGATGGGTCGCCTGCAACCGATGTTTCAACCCAATTTAATTCTGAAATGACATCACCGGACCTTACGGCTGCTCGACCAGTTATTTCCACTGAAGAACTTGCGATTATGCCACCCAAAGTTGAAAACCTAACAACAATCGTCGAAAAAGTCGTCTCAACTGAAAGTAGTCCTGTCGAAACATTATCAAACGTAGTTATCTCTCCCGAGGGTGTGCAAATCTTCAACGAAACCCAAGGTCTTCCTGAAGAAGCAGCTGTAGCACAATTTATCTCTCATCTCGACGAGAAGCCGCTGATTTTAAACATCAATCAGTCAAATTTGACACAAGTCATGAAAATTTCTCTCTTGAGTGATGACGGAGTTCCTATCGATTCTTCTCTCTTGCAAAATGCCAATTTGATATCTATTATCAGCAACAAACCAACGATTGTCAATAACAACATTTACCAAATCCTGCAGTCAGAATCACAACAGACGATTCCAATCCTTCGTGACAGCTCGTCAACTTCACGGCCTGTGATAAATACATCAACCATCTTCATCCAAGCAACAACAAATGACCCAATCGCTCCAACAACACCTCTTCCACCGACATCTCCGACGTCTCAGGATAAGAAAAAAGTCCCATCATTGACGCCTGAAGAGCAGCTGTTCTTGGAATTGGAGAAAATCACTTCTTTCAACAAAATTTTAAACGGTGGCCTTGACATTAACACCTTAAGCGATCTCAGTGCTCTCGAAACTCTAGCGCTGAAGGGCATTTTAGATTCAAAACCTGAGCTTCTAAACGTGGCTAAAAAAAGCAGCTCGATTTCATCAAAAGTGCCTGTTGTCGTGGATGGTCAAGAAGCGGACGAAGAATGGAACGATCTTCCAGACCCTGCGTCAAATGTCCATACCCTGCAGCTTGACGTGCTGCCTCTAGACGTCAATGGCGATTCTACAGTAAGTCAGCGTCCGTTTGAGAAGAATGCTGATTTGATGGTTCTAGAAAGCTTACTAAGGGAAAGAAAGTTACCAAAAATGGTGGAAAGAGAAATTTTGAAAGATATTACTGAAGGAAAAACTATTTCCGATGCAATTCTACAGAATATCGATAAATACTGGAAGGAGATCTCAGAGCATCTGAAAGAAGCTTCACCTCTAGACGATGACCTGAGTCCTCTGGCAGTGATAGAAGATTTAGAAAAGAAACTAACTAAAGAAAACGGAACCAAGGTTTCGCCGAACGAAACAACGACATCTCATACTTTTGTGACTAGGGTAAACGTGGCAAGTCCTCTGGCTGATTCCAAGCTACCAGCAAAGTCTGAGAACCTCCAGAACTGTTTCCAGGACCGCGTTTGTACCTTCGCGTTCTCGATCGCTTTAGCTGCTGGAACTACCGGAGCCCTCTCAGTACCATTCCTCACCCCGGTCCTTGGAAGGAGCTTACATTCCTCCGTTTCCCTGACAGCATCCGAGGTCCCCAACGAGCTCATGTCTGTCGAAGAAGCTCGTCAAATTATTGCCGCTGTCACAAAATATTCTCAAAGGAACGGTAAAACTTTGCGCGGTGACCATGTCAACCTGAGGAGGTACATGAGTCCATTTGTTAGTTATCTTGGTCATAAAATGTTCCCCGCGATGTTTGGGGGCATCCCTGACAAATAAATTGAAAATATAGTCATGTTGACTATTATATTTATACTTAACTGACTTTTATTCTAGTATATACATTGAAATATTGGTGTACCATCATCAGTAATATCTCGATAAATTTGCTCAAAATTTGGTGTTGGCTCTATAATAAATGAGCATGGTCATTTGTTCGTATGATGGTGTTCAATTATTTATTTCATTTTTAATTCTTATTACAATACTAATATACAATTTTAATATTTTCTGTGTGGTTATTCAACATTGATATGTTTTTTATCTTCATGCAGATTTTATCTTCTGTTACTAGATGTGTAAGATGTTGCCTCTGGATAACAATGTGATTTGGATAACATTATTTGTTTGTTTTCTTCCCATTTTTGCGCATCGTCCAAGAATTATTGCAAATAAAAATTTTAATTATTTAGATGAAATGTTCATACCGGATAAACAGCGTAAATTTTATAGAAGTCTCTGCGAATACGTGAAAGTCTTGCATTCTGCTGCGAGGAACCACAAAAAACACGTCAGCTCCGATTGCATAGCAATTGTGTGAAGGGTTGTGACTAAATAGTGAGGTGGCAGTCAGTAAAAGGTTTGGTGCTGGTTAACTTAATAACTCAAGCTACAACATGTATCAATTTTAATTTATGCATAGAAAAATTGAAACAAAAATTACCAATCAACGCATACTATTTGCACTTGAGTGGTTGAAGCTGGTTTCAAATCTACTGCAAAACAACAGTTTTACAAATGTGTTGTGAGTTATATTACCACTTGACGACACTTGGGTATTGTCGTATTGACCGGTGGCGAAAACATGCCGCCACTTGGGCATTCACAGTTGACTATTACTTGACGTCACTTGGTATTGACAGTTGACTTCCATTTGACGTCGCTTGGCTATTGACAGTTGACTTCCATTTGACGTCGTTTGGGTATTAATATAGCTGTTTCAGCTTCTATTAGACCGTAGGCCTGTCGCCGATTCTTAACGTTGCAGAGCATTCACAGCATATTGCGGGCTTGAACTCGCAACTCACTGCTTCAAATTTTCTTTGCTTAACCGCTCGGCCTCCTTGCCGATTCTGACCAGAAACTGGCGCACAGAGCTGGGATCGAACCCACACCTCTCTGCTCCAATTGTGGTACTCTGAACTTCAACCACTGAGCCACCCTATTGACAGTTGACATCCATATGACGTCTCATGGGTATTGACAGTTGACTTCCATTTGACGTCTCTTGGGTATTGACAGTTGACTTCCATTAGACGTCTCTTGGGTATTGACAGTTGACTTCCATTTGACGTCTCTTGGGTATTGACAGTTGACTTCCATTAGACGTCTCTTGGGTGACAGTTGACTTCCATTTGACGTCGCTTGGGTATTGACAGTTGACTTCCATTAGACGTCTCTTGGGTATTGACAGTTGACTTCCATTTGACGTCGATTGGGCATTCACAGTTTTCGGTTGCATGATGCAACTTGGGCTATAATTGGCTGGTCATTCAGATCTCCGCCGTAAAAAAATGCAATACTTGTAATGATTACTAGATGATGCACATGGCAATGAATTTACATCACAACTTTACCTTACTAAAAGGGATGGCACTTTGCAACTCATGCCCCCAAGTATTATGAACAACCGAAAGTTGAATTTTTTTTCGTCGAAATTGGTCTGCAATTATGTACCTCAGCCAGGTACAGTTTATCTTACACACCAATATTTTCCGACAGTCATTTGTGCAGGCAACTTGATGTACAAATTACCAAGGGACAAGTGGCTCTCATTTGCAAAGTAACTGGCAGATTGGTCCAGTGGTTACAGTTCAGAGTAACAGAATTGAAGCAGAGAGATGCGGGCTCTATCCCAGCTCTGTGTGCCAGTTTCTGGTCAGAATAGACGAGGAGGCCGGGCGGTTAAGCACCGCAAAAGTTGAGCAGCGAGTTGCGTGTTCGAGACCGCAACAAGCTGTGAATGTTCTGCGATGTTAACAATCGGCGATGGGCCTACGACCTAATATACGCTGGAACAGCAATTATTTATTATTATGGCTTAGCTACCAGCAGCCACAACCACCAATTTCACAAGCATATTTTTAACATAACATTTGAGGTTGAGTTAATTGTTGGGCTAAATTATAAGTTTAATTGATTTCAAATCAATTAATTGTACGAGCGTAGTTCAGCCTCCGGTGACATTCGTGATTAATTGGAAGTAATGGGCCTAATGGCCTATGTAATCTATGGTTAAGGCAAAATAGGCGTACCATATTTGGAAATAGTACTTCATTATCTTCTATTTTTTAATGATATTTAATCGAAAAAGAAAATGTAAATGATTCATTTTCAGCCTAATCTCTTGTCAAATATTAAAGCAAATATCATAGTAGGTTGAACTCATAATAATATAATATTAGTATTGTATTATTCCTGATACAAAATTGAACTCAATCGACAATTCTACGGACCCGCCTGCGAACTAACCAGCGGACTCGCGCACCTATGAATTTTGGAATGTGAGTATTAATTATCGATACGCTGCCGCAGGAATTATTACAAATTTTTACATGAATTATTTTTTTAATTAAAACCAGTCAACGTATTTTTTAAGCAATTGGGACACTCATAATTCCTCCAATACTTAACGGATCTGTATGAATTTTGGAATATTAATATTAATTATCGATACGCTGCCGCAGGAATTATTACAGATTTTTACATGAATTTTTTTTAATTAAAACCAATAAACGTATTTTTTAAGCAATTGGGACACTCATAATTCCTTCAATAATTAACGGATCTGCTCGAATTTTGGAATGTGAGTATTAATTATCGATACGCTGCCGCATGAATTATTACAGATTTTTACATGACTTATTATTAGGTTAGGTTAGGTTAGGTTAGGTTAGGTAATAAATCATGTAAAAATCTGTAATAATTCCTGCGGCAGCGTATAGATAATTAATACTCACATTCCAAAATTCATACAGATCCGTTAAGTATTGAAGGAATTATGAGTGTCCCAGTTGCGCAAGTCCGCTAGCGAGTTCGCAGACGGGTCCGTAGAATTGTCGAAGAGTCGAAATCGAAGAAAATATGAAAACTTTTATAATTCCATTTGCATTGTGTAATGCAATAACTTCCCTCAATTTCCCGCTCATAGCTGAAAATTAAAATTTAAATAATTCATTTACAACGTACTAATCGTGGAAGCTGTACAAAGTGAAATAAATAGCATAGCTGCACAAAATGTAATAAATAATTCAAAAGTTTGGTTTTTAAATATAATATAAAATTCATAATAATAAACTACAAAATTCGAAATATTTTATCCAACACGAAGAACACAACATGATTTTGCTCGCATGCACTACACTACATGACTACACCAATCAGCTGATCGAAACCGTGTTTTGGAAACTGAGGTCGACCTTGACGTGTGACGGTGTGACAGCTGTTGCGTACGGGCGGTGAAACTGTCGGGCAGGAAAAATTGTAAATGGAAATGGTATACATTTGCAGTTGAGTAAGTTGATACTAGGATATTGGGACTAGAAGAGTTTCAATTCTTTGCCTTCAAGATGAAACCCGCGGCTGAAAATGTATGCAATCCTGACTTATTGAAAGAACGAGCTCATTGCAGGTAAGAAATGGAGACTATAGTATGAGTATAATTGATTAATTGAGTGACTTACACTTCTGCAATCATCTACGGCAAAAAAAAAAAATAAATAATATGACAGCAGGGTGATCGACCCATGTGGCTACATTAATGGTCATTGATTCCATTTCCATCCTTTTATGAGCAATAATTCTGAAAATTGTTTTAACTAAATTAATAAGAATTGTTGTGTTAGCCTAATTGATCACCTACAGTACCTTACCTAGCCTCTAAAGTCTAAAGAGTAGAGACTAGGTATAGTTTAGGTTGATCATATTTGAGGCCATGAGTGGATGAGCCATGAAGAGATTTCTGACTTTTGCTGTATTTTTATTCAATCTATTATCTAACTAATGGTAATTTTAATGACCTGCTGTCAGTGCTGTGAGCTGTCTGCTGAATATTTAATGATATAAATATGATTCAGATACTACTAGCGTACTATACTATCATCATATTCAGATACCTACTATACTAATACTATTGCCTCTTGTTATTAGTCTCAAATGTTGTCCTAAATTTAATGTCATTCAGTCATTCATCATTGTAGACCTAAATGGTAAACCTAATAGGCTAATACTAATAGCTACAAAACTTGGGATATTGGACAGAATTTTCCCAGAATTGGGAGTTAAAATTATTTTTTAGGAGTGATTTTTGAAAATCTGCAGTAAAAATATGCCTTTTTTCTAATTTTTCACTGAAGAAATTGGGAAAAAGTTTTAAAATCAGAAGAACTTGGCCAGATTCATGGGCATTTCTGTCCAATACACTGGTAGTCTGGTGGCTGCTGCTTAATTTTCCAATTAGGATTTCTACTCTAGGTACTTGATTTGCCACTGGTAAACTTAATCAAGTGCCAGCCTCTGAGTAAATGATAGATTTTTCAAACAATATTGAACTAGAAATTTATTGCTAATAAGAAGAGTTTAAAGAGCTTTGCAATAAATATGTACATTGTGTGGCAATACTAGGTACCTACTCTTTGAACGTAAACTGGAAATTTTTGCAGAAGCCACCTAAGAATGTGGCTGAATCGCTGAAATGCCTATGTGTGTGTCAACTTTAAGTCTTTTCCTATTCCTATGGCCCTTTGTCCCCTTTTCCTAATTTCTTTTGTAAAAACTTGGAAAAGTGCCATATTTTTTCAGTGATATAATAAAATAGTGGTGGTCATGAAAATTATAAAATGATGATTTTTACTTGCAATTTAGGAAAATAAGGCCCAAATATTCAGTTCAAAATGCAGATTCAGTGAGAAGCTGCAAAGCTGAGCCTGAAAGTTAAATGTAGTACCTACATACATGCTATGGCTAAGTTACTACTAATATGTTAAGTCTTATGTACATTATAAAGCTGAATATTCACTCCTTAGTTCCCTTTATCCATTATTGATATGAAAGTTTCATTTTTCAGATTTATTCCTGAGGAGATCACTCATTTCCTGGACAATGGTTCTGAAAATACAAAGCTAAGGCACAAATTGGGTAAGTAGCTGGCTTTAATATTGTTGAAATGACAATTTTTAATTAAATGAATATTTTGGATTTTACTGACAGTTCTCTTAAACATTTCTAAATTTGTTTCAAATCTCATTCAACTAATGAAAAAGCTAAAGAAAGTGAACAATCTTCCATTATTTCTTTTACAGAGGAATATTTCCTAAATAATCCTCTGTTTGATGATGACATTCCTCCGGACTACCTGAGCCACAGCGAGCGGTACAGCAATGAGCTCAGGAAGTCCTGTGCTATGGTGCAGTGTTTCCTCAACGACCCCACCGTCCAGAACATTGCTGGGCAAATGGAGGGAGTTAGGTGTGTTGTGCATGATGTGTGTTAGAAGCAACATTATCCAGCACACTTTACATACTAGAATATTGGGAATAAGCTATATAAAGAATCGTATCTATACCTGGATTACCTGCAATCACAAAAAATTTGATCTATAACCTAACATCTGCACCATTTCTTCAGTGATAGTAGTCTATTCAAATATTTAAATGTCACATTTCCACCAATTTTTTTATTGACTGCCCAGGCACATTTTTGTTTGCTTTTTTTAGACAGGTCAGCTTGTTTTCCAGCCTGAGTCACTTGTCAGCAAATTTTTGTTCAGAATTGAATTTATCTGCCTTTTTTTTGTTTTGGATCATTAAGCCACAAAATTAAATTGTTATTGCAAAGCTTTACCTATTTGCCTTCATTATAAATATTGAGATCAAGTCAAAACTAAATTTTTTGTTTTTTTTTTCAGGATAGTTTATTTGAACAAGATGATCATTTCAACAAATTTATTCCCCAAGCATATCATATAACTGGTTGAACTTATTCATTCTTACACCATCATTGCTATTTTTTTCAAACTTGTATGAATTTGAAGGTATTATTCTCTGCTATTCCTTTTCAGGATGCTTATGGGCAATGGCTTGGGATCTGCCATCACAAAGGATGGGAACCCGCTTGCTCTCCACTATGTTATGTTCCTGCCTGCCCTCATCAGCCAGGCATCACAGGAACAGATGGCATATTGGATTGGTAGAGCCTGGGCTGGCCAAATAATTGGTACATATGCTCAGGTAAGAAACATTTCTGTCAGTTATAGCTTGACCATTTTGGAGTGCTAGCTAGTACTGTTATAATATTGAAATGCTTTAATGGCAAGGGATTATAATCACCAAGCAGCCAGTAGGACGTTTGAGACCAGCAATTGACTGTGAAAATTCTGGTCCAAATCAGCAAAATGACCTGGTAGTTAGGCGTTTTCTGCAGGCCTACATGACCTAATCAGAGCTGATACATACCTATATACTGGTACAAAATGTTGAATGCTACCTTATGTTGAAGCTCAGATTAAGCTTCAGGTGAAGTTAAAGTCTTGAACTTTTCACATTTTTATGACTAATTTTACTGTGCTAAAATTAGTGAAAACAATTTTGAGAGGTAAATAATCAGTCTATTAAATATATTGTTTTTTTACAGACAGAGTTGGGACATGGGTCATTCTTACGCGGGCTGGAGACCACTGCAACGTACGATCCTGACTCTGAAGAGTTTGTTCTGCACTCTCCTACTATAACCTCCATCAAGTGGTGGCCTGGAGGATGTGAGATTGCTTCAGCTATATGATCATTTCAAACATAGACTTTATTGATATTAATTACTTTTTCATTTAAATAAATAAAATGTACATCAAAAACACTCAAATTTCAGACATCTTTGGCAATGATGATTTGACTGTCTACCACAAAGTTTGATTAGCATGGCGAGTTTTGGACAAAATCGGACAATACAGGGATCATCTAGAGACATTTCTAGATGAAATATACATCAGTATATTATACTTGTTAAATACCTATATTCATGCACATGAAATCAACAGTGGGGAAGACAGCTAACCACGCTGTGGTGATGGCCCAGCTGTACACAGAGGGCAAGTGTTGGGGACCTCACGCCTTCATTGTGCAGCTCCGGGACCTGGACACGCACGCCTCCCTGCCAGGTGGGCTTATTGCCGTGCCAGTGGCCCCACCTGTAGACACGCCCAGGCAGTCGTGGCCTAAACTTACCCTTGATAGCAAATTTAACATACCGTACGTGTTATCTCTTTACCAACTATCATTATTGACATACAATGAATTTTGTTCACTTTTTTGTCACCTCTACATAACCCGCAAAAAACCTATCATTTACCTCTACATAGAGTAGCTAACTCCTATTTTAAGAATACAACACAGAGATCATAACTGCTCGGTTACGATCTCTGTGTGTTGTAAAAAGAATCTTAGTGCTTCTTATAAATAATCTGTGTTTCTTATGAATTATAATCTGTGTTTCTTAGAAATAATCTGTGTTTCTTGGAAAGAAATATCTTATTTCTGTATGTGTGTTTGCCAGGCATCTCGGTGGGGGAGATCGGGCCCCGGCTCGGCACGAACAGTCAAGACAACGGCTTCTTGAGGCTGCACCACGTGCGCATCCCTCGCCTGCATATGCTCATGCAGCACGCGCAGGTCACCAAGGTACGTCACTTTCAACATAATCACCTTTTTCCTTCTGAACACAACCATGCATTGGCCACTTCATGTCACTATTGAAAGACTGAACGAGTTTGAACCAAGAAGTTTGTTGTGTGTATTTTATTGTCGATTTATTTACACTATTTACAGCAGTAACACGTACAATTTTACATTCATTCATTTTACGGCAATTGTGGTGAATCCAGTGTGATCTGAAATTAAATTATATCAACCAACGTGTATCCAGGAATGCCACGGAAAAGAAGAAAATTCCTCGTGCTTCTTCCAGCTTTGTTCACATTGCAACAAGCATTTTTGTTCACACTCTTACCTCAAGCATCAGGCATGTGTATTGTCTTGCCCTTTCCTCCAGTCCGGAGAGTACGTGCAGCCTGCGAGCAGCAAGCTCACGTACGGCACGATGGTGTTCGTGCGGGTCGCCATCTGTTTCGACGCGGGGCGCCAACTGCAGCGAGCCGTCACCATAGCAACGAGATACTCCGCCGTCCGCAGACAGTCAGAGCTGGTGCCAGGGTGCGTGTTTATATCTTTCTCTTCCGTATTTAAATGAAAAAATTTTCCACATCAATTAATGTTTTGCCGTAGAATCGTTGAGAATTATGTATTCACATGATATTTAGTGATCATTGCGTTTACAGCTGCTGAAAGTAACATTCAAATCGACCTTCTGATAGGAATTTTATTGAGATAGTAGCAAACAGAAATTTATTCCACTAGCTCCGTGGTTTATTTATTTAATTAGCTTAGTAGTCTACAAATTTGAGCAGTGAATAATAAAATGGATACGATAAACTATTGTATGGATAAACTATTAAGGTAAATGAATGAACGGATGTAAATTTTTCAACAGAGAGGGGGAGGTGCAGGTGCTGGACTACCAGACGCAACAGCACAAGCTCCTGCCGCAGCTGGCGACGGTGTTCGCCGTGACGTTCTCGGCGCGGCGTCTCTGGGAGACCTACAACTCCGTCACCCACGGCCCAAAGGAGGCGCAGCTCGCCCTCCTGCCCGAGGTGTGGCTCCTGTAGGCCGCGTGTGTGGCATACTGGATGGCATATGTGCCTTATTGTTGGTCTCTTACAACCTGTACATCATGTGTGGCGTATACAAGCTGTTATAACTGCCTTATCGTATGTCTCTTATGCTGAGATTACCAGGCATATATTCTGATAACACGACTTCATTATTTAGAGTCATTGCTATCACAATTCGTTGCTAACGATGATATGTGTTTAGCTGCACGTGTTGTCGTGCGGGCTGAAGGCGGCGTGTGCGAGCGACTGCTCGCTGGGCTGCGACGTGTGCAGGCTGGCGTGTGGCGGGCACGGTTATCTCGCCAGCTCCAACCTGCCACGCATCGTCACTGCCACCACCGCCACACAGACTTACGAGGGCGAGAACACCGTCATGTGGCTGCAGGTGGCAAGGTACGTAACCTTCTCCTCCGCTATATATCGCACCGCATCAATGGTTCAGGTTCTATCTTGTTTATTTCAACAACTTGCCCAAGTCGCCAGGACATATTTGTTCTTACGCGGTGTCGGTGTTGTGATGACGCCCCATGCTTCAGGTACCTCCTGAAGGTGTCAGTGTTGTGATGACGCTCCATGCCCCAGTTACCTCCTGAAGGTGCCAGTGTTGTGATGACGCCCCATGCCCCAGGTACCTCCTGAAGGTGCCAGTGTTGTGATGACGCCCCATGCCCCAGGTACCTCCTGAAGGTGTACAGCGACGGCCTGGAGTCTGGCGAGGAAGCGGGTCCGTCGGTGCAGTTCCTCAGGGAGCCTCGGCCAGACCTCACTGCTCCCTCCCACGCCAGACTCACTAATTACGGTCAGTCCAACATTACGGTTCTATACTCTATTGGAAAGCATAACTAGTGCGGCTACTTCTTCCCTACTTTCTTCCCGTGAATATTTTCGGCATTATTGAGATCTGATAACACTACTTCTTGATCTCGCCTATTTATTTCTCATATTCTGTACGTAGATAGAATAATTCATGTGAAAATTTCACCCCCTGATTGTGGCTTGACTTTACCCTCACAAAGGTCTGGTGATGGGGTGGCGGGTGGCGGTGGTGGCACTGCTGCAGGAGGCGCAGCAGGAGCTGCAGCGGCGCGTGGCTGCAGGACAGCAGCCTGACCGAGCGCGTGACGCCTGTTCCCTCACGCTTGTGGACGCCGCTCAGGTAAAAAATCGATATTTTTTTCAACAACAAAGTTGCTTTAAAATTCTCATTAAAGTCAGTGTACATGTAGTCCTTGTTGTCACAGTGCCACCGTGAGGGCGGCGTGCTCTCACCACGCCCCTCGTGCCCTCACCACGCCCTTCACACCCTCACCTTACGTCTCATTACAGTGCTACATCCGAGGGCACATGTGCTGCCAGTTCGTGGCGGGGGTGGACGAGCTGCAGGGCCTGAGCGCCGGCACTACCCTGGTGCTGCAGCAGCTCTGCCGCCTCTACCTGCTCTACCACGCCTCCTCCAGCCACCTGCTCAGGGTGAGGCAACCGTCCTATCATGCTCAATTAATTAAACACCATCCTGGTTAATGTTATTTGCATTGTTAAATATATGATGCTTATACATTAATTTGTATATAACGTACCTTCATCTATCGTAACGAGTCATGTATGTCAAAAATATTCTTCAATTACCTTCTTTGATTTTGTGTTTTCTGGTTTCCTGCTCAGTATTGAACCTGAAATATGTCACTGTGAACGTTTTTCTTCTCTAAAATGGATAAATTTCAAAATTTTATTGAAAAAAAAAGTTCTATTTTGCCTCGGTACCAGATTTATTGTTGGTATACGAAGGGTTGACATCAACCATTTTCAATTACTAATTTTCTTGAGATTTTCTCCCTCTTTGTTTGCATCATTCGCGCTATCATTACGACCAACTATTTAGATCCATAACTACGAACTATCATTCCGAACCATTATTTCACCGTAATTATTATGATCACTCGTCAGCACGGGTGGCTGTCAGGGGCTGATGTCAGCCAGCTGGAGGCGGAGTACCGCGCCCTGCTGACGGAGCTGCGTCAGGACGCCGTCGCCCTCGTGGACTCCTTCGACATCCACGACCGCATCCTCAACTCCACGCTGGGGGCCGCAGACGGCAGGGTCTATGACAGGTGCTGTAGTGGGGGCCTCCTTCACTCACATCTCCTTAAGGGGAGCGTCTACCCCAAAAATTATCTCGGCTATTTACAAACGGATCACACTGAAACTTGGTACACATATGTAAAATGGAAAAAAACTCACATTTTGTTCCTGTGAATTTTTCGAAAAAAATAAAGAAAACGTGAAATTCATAGAAAACGGTCAAAAAAGGGGGTACTTTTGAAATCTATCTCCTCCTAGGATTTTCAAGCTACGACATCGAGACACATATCATTCGATGCGTAAAATCTCTATCTATAAAACGACTTAGCCGTTTTTTGAATTTCTAATTTTTGCGGGTGTGGGAGCATTTTTCGTAAAGTTTTCGGAAATTCAGCTAATTAGTTCCTATCTAATTACTTAAAGAACTCCCCCACCCGTCCCCCTTTCATGAAATGTCGTGAAATCATAAATCAACGTAGAGAGATGGCAGTGGTACCGTTGGATAGGGCAGAAAGTCAGCTTTAAAATTAGTATGAAAACCGAAAAAGTAAAAATTTTCAATTTTAGGGTAGACGCTCCCCTTAAGTTTTGCATACATCTTAAGAAAAAGCCTCATTATTTATAAGCCGGGCTGTTTTATCTAATCATATTTCAGTATTTTATAAAAATGTGCCACGTTTTCTGACAGGCTGTACGAAGAAGCCCTGAAGTCTCCACTGAACCAGCAGGACGTGCCGGACGCCTTCAACAAATACCTGCGCCCTTTGCTCAAGTCCAGCCTGTGAAAGTGCCATCTGGAAGAAGAGCTCCTGGGGAAGAAGGGAGTGAACGACGCAATGCTAATTGAAACGTGAAATGACGTTCACTTCTTATCGAGGTCGCTTCGAAAAGATTCCTGCTGGTAAAGTCTATATTACTCGCCTTAATGCAGCTATATAAGATTGCTACTTACTGCTCTCTTCCACGACTTTTGAAACCCTGTATTTTTAGCCGTGCAAGACGTGAGTTTGTACGTGCTAACGTGCATAAACCATGACATATGTGGGGGCACTGTGCGTGCCAGGTTTGTGTCGTGTGGGTGCCCGTGTTTGTGCCGTGGGTCACAAAAAATAATTATCCATTTATCGTCCTTCTTAAAAACTGCTCGTTGGGCCGCACCTTCCCTCCGCTCCGATGCTTGTTTGTGCGTACGCCGCTGAGGTCAACTCCTGCAGTAAAGCGAATCTTTTGTGATCTGAATAGATTTTGTGCGGCAAATCAGCATGATGAGATTTATGCACGAACCAGCGGTAGCAGTAGTTTTATCTCTAGACAAGTTAATTATTACTAATGATTAAATTTATATTATCGATGATAATTCATTAATCTTAACTGAAGTCGCAGATGGTGGCGGCTTGGACTTTGCAATAACTTCATTACATTTTCTAAAAAATTTAGTATATATTAAAAATTATCTCTACACTATGTGGGATTTTGAAATTACGAGGATGACAGTGAAATATTGAGGAGTCACAGTGCTGGCTCGTCTCTGTATTTATTAAGACCTTGCAACATAAGCGCTGAAATGTTTTAAATGAAGATATATTGAACTTACTTGACGTTTCCACTGCTTTTAAATTCTTGTTGATCTATAGATTTAAGCAAAGTAATGGTGCAAGACTTCGTCAGGATACAAGACTCTGTACTCTGAGTGCGAAAGACACATTATTTTTCCAGGAGTATAAAAAACGTCCTTGTTGACATTTGAATACAAGAAAGCAACATTATTGTTACTACGAAGACCAGCATCATTATTGTGAGTGCGACGTACGGAGTAACCGACACTGAATGAAGTGACCACAAATAAGTTCGTACGGAACACGCGGCACCGACTTTCAGGCTCTGCATTTTTCAAATTCCATAGTCGTTGCTTTGTCTTTTAAATTAAGATTTTATATATTTTGGAAAAATACTATTCCACTTAAATTATGACAGCGTGTTCTAGTTGGGTTTATGAATATCGATTAAATGTATCTTAGTTATCGTAATTATAATGTGTTATATTGATCGGTTAGAATTGTGCCATTCCATGATATTCCCTGCGTCCATGATGTAAACTTGATAAATGAATGCGTCATATTATCAAAATAGTGACGGAGTTCATGCCCGTAGCACTGATATGATTATCTCAAAGTGCCAAATACTGTAAACATGACCCATGTAGTGGCAAAGACACATCGACATTAGGACAAAGTCTGTCATATTTCGCTGTGCGTTTAGTTGTTTCGGTGCTGCAATAACCTGACGAGGGAGCACACACGGCAGCGACTGACGACGTCTCTTTCAATTACTTTATTTCACCGCTAAACTTGTACCTGAAGAAGTTAGTGTTCATCATCCTGTTCCTGGAGCATAGCGGCTTTATCAAGTGTTATAGGGGCTATTATAATATGTGTTATAAGAATATTTTTAAGGGTTAATGGCCCATTCATTGAGAATATGAGGCCTATTTATTGGGGGTTATAGGCCTATTTAATAAATGTGAGAGGGTTATTTTTTTAAGGGTTGAAGACATATTTTCCAGAGTTCTTACCGATGAATTATATGGACTCCTTCAATCGGTGTCTTGCAAGGAGCGGTCTCCGGAGCTTGTCATGCTGAAACTTACATCTTACATAAATGAACGTGTACCTTAAATATTAACGTTTATTTGGGTGGTGTTGCTGGTGCATTTTCCCAAAGTCATCTACTTTAATTCAATTTGGTTTAGTCGAATTTTTATCCTTATTATATTTGGATTATTGCAATTTCGGTTAATTTTTATCAACCGTTACATGTGGTTTTTGTGTGTTTCTTTATAACTGTAATAACATAAAGAAAATATTTACGGTCGTTCGTCCTTTTACAATTTTTGTCAAATCTGCACCGAAGTGGTTAATAAAATTTGAATTAGTTATAAAAACTTCTTGCAGCATTTATGGATCTGGAATGTTGTAATAGTTGTGGCATAGTTCATAGTTATGTATATGTTCACTTACATTAACAAATTATCTTCGTAACGTTTGAGTTGTATTAAGTTTATAACGAATCATAAACATTATTCTATATAACGTCGAGACTGACGTTTGTTGTATGTCACGTGGTGAAGGATTAAATTTTATTTGTACGCTCTTGCATATCACAAACGTGGGTTGCCGTTCTTTTACACTTGGTGAATATAAAATATATTTTGTTACTTTTTTCTTTATTAAAAGAGTTCAAGGTTCGGTGTCTCTTGTTCCTCCTGCAGTAGTGAGTGGCTAGGCGGAGATTTAGACTTCATCCAAGCTTTTATTTTAATGAGATAGCCGTTCGGGGGCTGTGCTTTCAAAACCCGCCGAAGAACGCGTAGCAACTTAAGTGCACGTAGCGGCCTAAGTACACGTGGCAGCCAAAATGTACGCAGTGGCCGAAGTACACGGAACGGCCTATGCACAAGTAGCAATCGATTTCTACGTAATTGGCGGGTTTAGCTTGAAAATTTGTGAGTGATTGTCTGTTGGATTTAAACACTCGTAACTATAGTGCCTCTGCTCAGTTCGGTTATCTCCTTGCCTTCAGCTCATTGATGTTAGCTCCCTGGTAGCCTACTTAACTTCGGTAGACGCCCTACGCTGAACTTTGAGACTGAAGATACCCTCCTAACGTACCGGCAATCAACACAAGCTTTCAATAATTTACAAAGAAATTGTAATGGGCCCACAAACTCAGGAAAATCAAGGGGTCACATTGCTCGAACAAGTGTACTATTTTTACAGGTAACGTTGATTGGCGCTTTATTGGGCCAAACTGGACAAGAATGATCACCGCAATGGCAAAAAGTATATCGCTGTTTGGAAAAAGTTTCATCGATTTCTGTGCGTGTACAGAGCTCAGGTTATGGTAATAAAAGCTTATAAAGTTGTCGAGGGTTTGAAAAGCCACGCGGGTAACAAGATGGCGGGGCCACCGGTGCTGCTGGTCGCAACTTCGTGGGCGTCTGATGAGCGCAGCAGACGTCGGCACCGCGGCTGCCGCTGCTCGGCGCGTTCACGTTTTGCTAGACACTTTGCCAGCCTCTCTGCTATATGCTTAATTCGATCGACTTTGTTCTCTTTAATTCATTTCTTTAAGTTCTTTCTTTCTTCACTAATTTCGTTTTAGGTTTCAAGCATTGAAAATACTTCAGAACACCGCAAGTCTTGGGTCGTCTCTCTGTACTGGCGTGGAGCGTGCTTTATGTGTATTTCAAACGCACTTTGACATATATCTTTTATTTTCTTTGGCAACTTGTTTTTTTAGAATCTTAGAAGCATTGAATTCCTCACGTAGTCTCTCAGCCGTCGTACGTTGATGACCGGTTGTTGATGTATGCTGTAGTGAAATTAAACTTTGCGGTTACAAGGGACCTTACGATTAACGACGGACCTTACGATCAATGAGGGACCTTACGATTAACGACGGACCTTACGATCAATGAGGGACCTTACGATTAACGACGGACCTTACGATCAATGAGGGACCTTACGATTACGATCAATGAGGGCCCTTACGATCAATGAGGGTCCTTACGATCAATGAGGGTCCTTACGACCAATGAGGGACCTTTCGACAAATGAGGGACTTTAATTATGATCAACGTGGGACTTTATGATCGTCTTAAATATTTTTGAGGCTAAAACATTCGTAGAATTTTCAAGTCTACTCAAGCGCACCGAGCGCCTCCTGATAACGACAGTAAGTTCCCCTCAGCTCAACATTATATGCCATCCCCCCTCGTATGTCGAGGCAATTATATGTAATGCTGACAGTTCTATTAAATAAATTATTGTTAAGGAGAAAGCTGATGGTTTATGGTCTAAGTCAAGCGTCCTAGTGTAACGTCTGAAGGCTGCTAACGCTCCCCTCAGACGTTACTATACTGCCCTCAGCCCGCCCACGGCTGGCAGAGCAGGCTACCCTCAGTTTGGCGAGGGCCACGAGGGTGTCTGGTGGCGAGAGGGTGAGGGACTAGAGCCATGCAACGCTGTGTGGCGTAGCGCGCAGTCGCATTTGCGCGTCCAAAGTTTGTCCCTGAGCTCTAGTATTTTATTGAGTGGCGTAGTCAACTGAACAGTTTAGACATTACTAGTTGCTGTGAGGTCAACGGAGAAACCCAGCGCCCACTTTGAGGTGAGACCCGTTTTCCAAATAAACTTTTAACACTTATTTTCTAACTGATAGTATTTTAAAAGCATTAATTTCATTGGCGTATAATCAATTATCAGCCTAAATCTATGGGTATGTTAAATATCTAGAAAAATACTCTCGATTGACTTTGTTTTATATTGTAAAAATTAAGACATTAGACTTGGAATTTCATTTCACAATCTCTTATCCCGCAAAACTAAGGTGTTGTGGTATAGGTAACTTTAAGCTAAGGAAATCTCTCGGGCGTGTTGCAAAACTTATTCCCCATCCCTAGACCGAAAAAATTTCTAGTGAGCTTGTAGGCACTACCTGAAATGCCTCTATCATGTCTATAGTATCTTCGGCATTGAAGAATAGGTCTGGATAGGCCTGTCTAAGCTGTCTTATTAGAATCTGATGTACGATCTCCTGGCGATCTGTCTTAGAAGACGATCTCTGTCAGATTTAGAAGACTAAGTGCGATGTAAGGCAAAAAGACTCCTTGTAGTTGGCAGACAACACTCGCTCGGCTGCGTCCTCTGGGATGCCAGTTTCCATCCAAATGATCTAAAATGTTTCCTACTTCTCAATTGAAAATAGTATATGAGTAATGAAATAATGGGCCAATTATATAGCCATATGGGGCACTTTGAAGCCCTTTGTAGTTCCTTCATACCAGGATATTTGGTTGTATTTTCTTGCGGGAAGCACCTTAATCCTCGTCGGACAAAATACTTGTTCAAAAAGTAACGCACAAATTTAATCCGCAAACTGCCCTAACTTGCGGATTTGTCACTAACGGAGTGAAATATGATGTTTTCTGCGTGAATTGCAGGATTGTCACGTGCCGTAAATTTTCCATTAATTGTAGAGCTAATATAATCATTGAACTGTGCTTTTATAATGACAAGAATCCACTGAACCATTTCCGTTACTTGGATAATCTGGCTTTGGCTAATACACTTCGGTGTAAAGTGGACCTCCGCGATAAGCATCCATCCTTAGAGAGGCATGCAATTATGCTATAAGTCACTTGTCAAGCGAGATAGGCCGGGCTTTGAATAATGTCTGTAAAAGGATGTTAACTTAAAGTAGAGCTTGCTCCTAGTGGTTGACACGTTTCTGTTGTCATTCGCCTGCTTTTATATTTCAACAATGTGCGCTGCTATGAATGAAGAAAAGAGCAGTTTGGATTCCGGCGCTAAAAGTATCTGTAGAAGCGAGCAGGACAACAGTAGAGATGAGAACAGCAGCAGTTGATATGGTAGCAAAAAATCCTTATTCTTCTCGGCGCTTGTCAATGACTGGGAAATGTGTGTGTTTGCGAGTGAGTTTTACCAACCTGCAATGCAAGTAAAATATTGGGGTCAACATCCGTGTTGTTGACGTGCAAAAAAATGGATGTGCCTTCGTTGAAGGCGGCCTTCTGATGACGCGGCCTGAACAGCGCGTCTGTTTGGTCGCTTGCTGCCACCGCTGCCTGGGTGGCTTCCTTCTCTACGGCTTGTGTCTTGACAGCTTATAGGGGCTTAGATAAGTATGTATATTGTATTGTTCCTGCAGTCCAATACAATCTACCGATCTACATGACATTTTTCCGGCGTTCGATAGATTTGAAATAGTACAGATAGCTGTTACGGCATGTTCACATAAGGCATATCCTGTGGTATCTCTCTACATGCCTGCAGTAATTCAATCTTTTTATACTATCAAATAATGAAAACTAATCCAAGCATTATTCAAGCAATAAATATAAATTTGGATAATTTTGGGTTCAGTCAGCTGTCCAGCATCGTTGCAAGAAATCATGCGCCCACCGACAGTTTTTTTTGCGTTCTGCACGCGTCAGCGCTGATAGCATACGCCGGCCGGTAGAGGGGAGGCGCGTCATGACGGTGAATCAAAGTCTCAACAGTTCCGTCGGAATTCGGCCAAGAAAATAGTCTAATAACTGCACACGGGAGATGCCGGCTTGCTCAAAAATTTACTAGGGACAACAATAATCATAAAAGTTACAAGAATATGTTTCATAAGACTAAAGGGGTAGAGGCTAGGGCGACTGATTCACCTCGCACCGACCAACCTTCGCGGTTTGATAGAAAGTTTAAGCCTACATTTACACGGTATTGAGATATCAACAGTTTCGTTAACTCGTCTCTCTAAACACAAATCTTTCACAGTAAGTATTTTTTCCATTGGTCGAAAGCGAATAAAAAATTCTAGAGGAACCTTACGTAATAAGTGAAGAATTGTGTATTCCGAAAATTCGATTTTATCAGAAAATGAGAGCCGTAAAAGCTCGGTTTGGCCGATTGGTTGAGATACCATAGACAGAAATAGTGAGTTACGGTTCGAGACAAACAGCTGGCTGTAAAAATTCTGTTGTGTGTAGGATATGAGACAACTCAAACATGGCCTGATATTAAACTCTAAGACCACTAATTAAAAAACATTTCATGGTTCTTTAGAAACCATTCAATTGATATGATTTGCATCCATTATATACATGAGTGTATCGAAACGGTCACTTATAAGCTTTATAGATGAAATGAAATTAATCTGTGGAAGTTAATTAAACTAATTTTGATCACTCTTCTCTAGTTTACTATATTTTAACATATATTTATTCTTCTAAAATAATTTCTTTTTTTTTCCTCAGGCGGCCATGCGGCTGAAAATGCAGCAGCTGTCGCTGCTTCTGCTGCTCGTCGTGCAGCTGGCAGCCGCGCGTGAGTAATGAATATATATAGTGTTCCTGCCGTGTTCCTGCCGTGTTCCTGCAGTGTTCCTGCCGTGTTCCTGCAGTGTTCCTGCAGTGTTCCTGCAGTGTTCCTGCAGTGTTCCTGCAGTGTTCCTGCAGTGTTCCTGCTGTGTTCCTGCAGTGTTCCTGCTGTGTTCCTGCAGTGTTCCTGCTGTGTTCCTGCTGTGTTCCTGCAGTCTTCCTGCAAATATGCAAATTTATGAAGAATTAATGCTTGTAAAAATTGTCGATAAACTTCTATAAGTTACTTTTTTCTTGCATATTTCTTATTAATAAATTTATTTTTTTTTTCAATACTTTGGGCGGCGACGTGTTTAGTTTAATTTCATTCAACTTTACAAATCGTATTTTGTCCTACTACCTCGAAAACTTTAAATTTTCCCTTAGTTTCAATTCATTTAACTTTACAAGCTGTATTTTGTCCTACACCTTGGAAACTCGAACGTCTTTTCCTACGCGACACGCGCGCAGAGTACGAGTACGAGACGCTGGACGGTCCGTGCGCGGACTACCAGCCCGGCGAGGACGACCTGCAGGCCTTCGACTTCATCAGGAAGTTCAGACTCGACGTCCTCGAGGCGAGCAGCCCGGGCGTTAAGAAGGTCCGGGGCTCCAGTGAACTGCAGACCGCCTACAGACTGCATGCTGAGACTGACCTGCAGCTCGCCACTCGGTGAGACTGGCCTGCAGCTCGCCACTCGGTGAGACTGACCTGCAGCTCGCCACTCGGTGAGACTGACCTGCAGCTCGCTACTCGGTGAGACTGACCTGCAGCTCGCTGCTCGGTGAGACTGACCTGCAGCTCGCCACTCGGTGAGCCCGACCTGCAGCTCGCCACTCGGTGAGACTGACCTGCAGCTCGCCACTCGGTGAGACTGACCTGCAGTTCGCCACTCGGTGAGCCCGACCTGCAGCTCGCCACTCGATGAGACTGACCTGCAGCTCGCCACTCGGTGAGACTGACCTGCAGTTCGCCATTTGGCGACTCCGGCCTGCAGCTCGCCATTTGGCGAGTCCGGCCTGTAGCTAAGTACAAGAGAGATTGCACTCCTTTTTTCACTGTTTCCGCATCGAGCAAATCGCAAGACATCGCAGATTCAGGCCGCAATTTCTAGTTACATTAACATTTTATTTGCAGGGATATTTTCCCGCAAGGCTTGCCCCAGCAGTTCTCGCTGATCATCACCTACCGCACGCGCCGGCCCCCCACCACGCCCTGGGACGTCATGCGCATCACGGACATCAGCGCCCGCCCGCAGTTCGCCATCACCCTCATCCCCCAGAGGGAGAGTGTCGAGCTCACGCTACCCTCGCTCACGGGTGGCGTGCAGACCCTCGTCTTCCAAGGGGTCGGGGTGAGTGGGATCAGGGGCTACGAGCGCTTGATTAGATTTTCGTCTGTAATGCTTACAGTAAAATGATTTCCCAGTATTGCCACTCACAAACTTAGAGCTTTGCTTAATTATTTCCAGTTTTCGATAATTCCTAACTGCCATCTCAAATTACTTAATTAATTTCCTGAATTTATTCGATGTTAGTATGAGAAATTACTTCTATGGAGCGCAGGCTCTTTTTACTATCAGGGGCACAAGATAAACTTCAGCGTGTAATAAGAATTTATTGTTTTTATTTATTGTCCAGCCAGCAATATTGTTCTCACCCGCCACTTCACTTTAAATATTGTTTTCTTTCTTCATCCCCTCCTGTAGTGTTCTCGTCACCCACCCCTCCAGCTCAACTCTAACCGGTATTTCAGGCTCTGTTTGACCGTGAGTGGCACAAGCTTCACTTCGGCGTGTACCGGGACCGTGTGGTGCTGTACGTGGACTGCTACAGGGCGTCAGAGGAGTTCTTCTCAGATCCTGTGGGACTCATCGACGTCAACGGCCAGATCTACATCTCCAAGCAGGGCGCCTCGCTGCGCACCGTGCCTGTAATATAAGAAATACGTCCAATATAAAATATAAAAATTTGACACACATGTACATATAAATTAACTTATATATATACATTTACATACATAAGTCTGTCAATAGTGCGACTGTTTGATGAAATACCGAGCGCAAAGGCTGATGGAACCATTGCAGCACAATTAACGTGACGCGAGGTAATTTTTCTTTAAAATCGCGTCGCGCTGTGTTTTTGGTAATTAGCTTATACTTAATTGTGTGACAAGGAAAAAGATGAACGCAATCGTGCGACATGCTTTTTAACGCCAAACTTGTTTGGTTTGGGTTAAGGTTGTAAAAAGGGCTAATTAAAGGTTATTAAGGGTTACATATGTATTTTAAAATGCTATTTTAAAAAAAATGTCCGGGTTACTAAAGTCTACTAAATTGTTCAGATTGAACTGCAGTGGATGGTGCTGAGCTGCGACCCCACGCGTCCTGAGCGCGAGACCTGCGATGAGCTGCCGGTGGGTAGGACCCCTGAACCCCTAGTGCACCTCCTAGTTCCTAAACTCTATATACACCCTGAATCATTAGCGTACTCTCTAATCCTTTAACTCTATCCCCAGAACCCCAAGCGTGTCCCTAAAATCTATCACTGAACCTCTATTGCCTCTAACTCTCTCCCTTGAATGCCTGCTCTGCCACAAAAACTCCCTCGGTGTTTTTTTCTTACCTTTTTGATCCTTCCTTATATCCCATCTCTTATCCCTGTGTCTTTTATCCCATCTCTTATCCCTGTGTCTTATCCCATCTCTTGTCCCTCTGCCTTATCCCATATCTTATTCTTGTGTTTCGGCATACAACCGTCCTTTGAATAGACCGCATCAAGCTGAAGTTTATACCGTCCATAATGTGGTGCGTTGCCTATGAATTTCGGTACACTTACCCGTCGCATTCTTTACTTTCGATTTTTTCACAGTAAATACGAACTGGATTCTGTTGTGCATGTCAACCATTGATTACTTTTGATCTGACTACCTCCCTCCCTCCCTCCCGCAGGCCCGAAGTTCCACCCAGACTGGGCCCGCCCAGTGTGAGGTCGTCTGTCCAATCGGTCCACAGGGTCCCAAGGGTTTGGACGTGAGTATGGGGCCTCTCGCAGTTGAATCTACTATGAACAATAGAACATTGTTGTATGAATACGATATTAATATTCACAAATGAAATGGTCGTGTAGACACTTGTTTATATTTTCCCTATGAAACATAATATATGCTATAAGTTAGTTGAAAATTTTGAGCAAATAATCTCTTGAAGATAGATTCTTAAACTCTCATATGCCGTTCACCCAGACGATTAATTTCCTCAAGTCCTCCCAGCAACGCAAGATAGAGGAAGCTCCTGCGGTACCTATAATGCTAGCCATCGTCTGACATGTAGAAAACTAGAATTTACGGTCTTGAACTCATGACTTTATATTCTTTACGCTAGAAGTTAGAGCAGCAATGGGAGAAACGCTTAGCTGAGGCGGTGCAAAGAATCAGCAATGAAATGCATTAGAGAAAAAAAGAAGGAGCAGAGAAGCAGGAATGAAAAACAATAGAGAAGGAACAGACAAGCAGAAGAGAAGCCAAAATAAACTGTGTAACTGTTGATGTAAAAGGTTAAGATTAAAAGACTATTGCGAGTCAATGAATGACGATAGAGAAGAAGTTAAGGAAAATTAGAGCAGAAACGTATTACCATGAGAAAAAAACGTTGATTAAACGTTGTGTATGCAACCTGGCGCATTAGAGAATGAATACATGATAGCTCAGCCCTACAGTTGAACATTTAAAAATTAATTGCAGTTATGACCCCTTCTTTCTTCCCTAACCCTGGCCCAGGGTATTCCCGGTATGCCAGGGTCACGCGGGCCTCCTGGCCCCCCGGGCCCCCTGGGGATCACGGGCCCACCTGGGGAGAATGGGGAGCCCGGCAGTCTAGGCTTTCCTGTACGTCGGTCATCTTGCATTAAAACATTTGAATTCAATAACTTATTTGTTATGAAGTGAATCGATCAGGACGCGATTCAGACTTGTGTTGATCCGTTCAATCAACCCTAATTTTTGTGACTGCCTGAAGCGTTACCAATTTCCGAGACTCGGCCGCAATTTCTTGTGACGACTCAGCCACGACATAAGCGTCTCGTTTGAAATCTTAACCTATATACGCTCGTAATCCCTTCCTATGTTTATCTTTAATATTATTAAAACCTAATGCTCTGCTACTTGCTTATCTGATTGGCTTTGCGATAAACCGGACAAAAAAGTTCTCGGACATCATCTGCTGATTTTTTCTCGTATTCTCCCGCTTGCTAATTTTGTCAATTGGTACTGACCCGCCTTGGCCACGGCGACCCTGAGGCCCCGCCATGACGGGTTACCCGCGGGTTTTGCTGAGTAGGGGATGAGTAATGTTGCTGAGTCATCTCTTCCACCCGAGCGTGAGTTTATACATATGGTGGGGGAATAAATAATGAGTTATTGCCGCCCTCACGTGACAGGGACGGCGGGGCAAAAGGGGGAAGGAGGGCCCCAAGGGGGTACAAGGGGACCCTGGCTTTCCCGGGTTCCCGGGGCCACGAGGAATAGCGGGACCGCTGGGCCAGAGTGTAGGTATTGGCCCTGTTCCACGGTTTGTATTCGCTTGCCGTAGAGTGTTATCTTGGTGATATAATAACAAATGTATATAAGTTTAACGTAAGCTTTGTAACAGTTGAAAGAGTTAAACATCAATTTTGGTGCATGATTGAACCAACCACAATGTCGATTAATGGAGACCCGTTTTTATTGATATTAGAGTTAAATGTAATTGTTACTTATTTACTATTTATGAAGGTTTTAGTAAATAAATAAGGTTTAAAGTTCCTTATTTAGGCTGAGTTGAAGAGGATCGGAAGGATGCAGCTTATGAACGGTAAGAGCATGATCAAATTTTCGAGATTAAAATTATTGCTACTGAATATAATTTTAAAGCTAATTTATTTGTTAATTAAAATGTATTTGTTTATTGGTAAGAATTTAGGAATTATTCCAAGTTTCATCAATGTCATGATTTGAATGATGTCCAAATATTAATGAGTAAAATAAGTTTGTATTCAAAAAATAATTATAAAATTATTCTGTTTTGAAAAATTAGAAAAAATTGTCCTCCCTAAATTCCCATTTGTTATCGGTACGAAAGATAGCTTCACAGTGCAAATACGGCCAATCATAACATCACGCCAATACAGCCAATTCAGCAAGGCAGGATCATGACGTAATCCCCTTTCAGCTCCTGTACTCGTGTTTGCCAATTTTACTTCTCGTTTAATTCATTGTTGATTTATTGCATAGGGTCCACCTGGGCCCGCTGGGCCACCGGGACGCGCTGGCGAGCCCGGCATCATCGGCAGGACTGGCCCAGTTGGGCCCCAAGGCGTCGCTGGACAGCCTGGTAGCATCGTGAGTGATGGGCCCGACGTGGGCCTGGGGCCTCGATATATTTCACATTTAATGATAATACTTCAGATAATAGATGATAATAGAAAATAGGACAATAGATAAGATAATAAATGATCGAACAACAGATGAGATAATAGATAACAATGACAGATCATATGTCAATGGATAAGATAGAAGATAATAGGACAATATATCAGGTTAAGAGGCTGAGATGTTAACAAACTCATGATTCTCGTAAGTACTTTTGAATTAGCAGAATTAATTGTTTTGGTGTTAAATTGGAATGATCTAATCTGATAACTTGTAAAGTTCGTGGAACTTTCGAGCACGAACGTGGCTCTCGACTCTCGTGTATCATGTTAATGCTGTCGTGCGTATAGCGGCAGATTCAATGTTTATTTAAATCACGGTCACATAAAAATACTTTATTGCACAAGAAATTACAATTACATAGAAAATTTTCTTCACACACGACACTGTAGTACAACAAACGGGCATCCATTTGCTTCAGTCCAAGGCACAAGCTTTACGAACCACCAGAGCCTGCGTTCATGACCGCGTTCCTACTGCTGCCTTTTTCTATCCGCAATTTCACAGCACAGTTTCAGTACTCTCTAAAACATTCTTACAATTCTACAATGCAAACATTCTATAGCACTCATTCTAACATGACAACACATTTATTATATAAACGCCTAATAACTAACAATAAAGTAACGTTTAATATAAGACCTCTACAATTCGATAATATAGAATGGTGGCCGAACTCACTATCACCGCCAACATTTATTTATCATATGGTCCTTTCATTGCAACACAGGGCGCTGTGGGACCAAAGGGCGACATAGGGCCAAGAGGACCCATTGGGCCTGCAGGTCCAATTGGCCCCATTGGCCTGCCTGGTATTAAAGGAGCCCCAGGCGACGCAGTGCTCGTTGAAGGCCCCACTGGGCCACAGGGTCCGCCTGGATTACCGGGAATTGTGGGACGTCCTGGAGCTGACGGCTTACCTGGGCGACCCGGCAAAAGTGGCGAGATTGGTGAGAGTGGGACAGCTGTTTGGTGAGAGTGGGACAGCTGTTTGGTGAGAGTAGGACAGCTGTTTGGTGAGAGTTGGGACAGCTGTTTAGTGAGAGTGGGACAGTTGTTTAGTGAGAGTGGGACAGCTGTTTAGTGAGAGTGGGACAGCTGTTTAGTGAGAGTGGGACAGCTGTTTGGTGAGGGCGGGACAGCTGTATGGTGAGAGTGGGACAGCTGTTTGGTGAGAGTGGGACAGCTGTTTGGTGAGAGTGGGACAGCTGTTTGGTGAGAGTGGGACAGCTGTTTGGTGAGGGCGGGACAGCTGTTTGGTGATGGTTAAGCAGCTGTTCCATTTTCTTTACATTCAACATTTCTCCCCATTTTCCCGCGCATTAACCAAGGCTAAGGCTGTGTCAATGTAAGAATGTCCCCGGGTTGGCAGGACCCAGAGGCGAACCCGGGGTGGACGGACGGCGGGGCCCAGAGGGGCCCAAAGGCAATCCAGGAGAAAGAGGCCTTCCCGGCCCCAGGGGAGAGTTGGGCCCAGTGGTGAGAGACTCCCCATTTGTATTTTAATTACCTTTTATTTTGGTAATCAAAATGTGGTCTAATGATAATGATATTGTTGGTGATTATGATGGTGATGTTATTACTGATGGTAATAATTATGATGTTGATGATCACAGGGCCCTGCGGGACGACCTGGCCCCCCAGGTGCGATGGTCGACGGGGAGATGGTACCTGGGCCCCCGGGCCCTCCAGGAACCATTGGGCCACCAGGCCCAGCGGGCGAGCCGGGCCCAGTTGGGCCTGCCGGCCGAGCTGGAGAAGATGGCCCCCCTGGGCCCCGTGGGGGCAAAGGTACCCAATAATTTCGTAATTTTCATTATAATATATTACTAGGTTTACTTATTATATATTAAAAGCCTAGAAAATCATGAATACATGATAAAATAAATTGCATTTATATTTCATATTTGCTATCTATTTTCAAGCATGCAGGTTACCCCCACCTATTAACTAGGCTGTCTAGATGTAAATAAAATAAGATATTGAATGGCATTGTAAGCATAGGAATTCAACAGTTTAACAATGTTTATAAAAAGTGACAAATCCTTCAACTTTCTGAAGAATTATCTGTAGCCCAATTAATGCTGCCCTCCTAGAGCATATTTGCTTATTTTTTAAATTCTATATTTTTAATCCGCAGGGGACCGCGGACCTGCCGGCAATCCTGGCGAGAATGGGGAGCGCGGGGAGCCGGGACGCACGGGCCCCCCTGGGGAGGCTGGGGCCAAGGGACAGGCCGGAGTCCCAGGCATTCCTGGCCTCATCGGCAAACCAGGCATTGTGGGCCTATCGGTACGTTACGGGCGCTTGTTGGTACGTTACGGTCGCTTGTCGGTGCGTTACAGTCGCTTGTCGGTGCGTTACAGTCGCTTGTCGGTACGTTACAGTCGCTGGTCGGTACGTTACAGTCGCTTGTCGGTGCGTTACAGTCGCTTGTCGGTACGTTACAGTCGCTTGTTGTATTTTACAGTCGCTTGCCGGTACGTTACAGTCGCTTATCGGTACGTTACAGTCGCTTGTCGGTACGTTACAGTCGCTTGTCGGTGCGAAATTCGAAATCTTTAAAGGAGTATTATTAGAACTACCTCCGTTATTTGGATGACATGATGGAAAATTAGAGTATACCAGCATTTACTGGATGTAAGTTTGCATAACGAGCAAGTAAAGATAGTGATGACGAAAGATAGTAAGATTTTAAAACTTCCCATTTGCTGATAGGCAGTGGGAGTTTGTTGTTATACTGGATTATACTGGATTGCCACCTATACTGGATTGCTACAAGTAGCGGTACTTGAACTTGCTTCATGTTCACCCTGAGGATTAGTGAACAACTTTATGATAATATCTGACTTCCGTTTTGTAGGGTCCAGAGGGCCCTATTGGCGCACCCGGGCCCGCTGGGCCCAAAGGAGACCCTGGGTCAAGAGGCCCTCCTGGTTTAAACGGCGAGCCCGCCCCTCCCGGTGCACCTGGGCCCCAGGGGGCCACAGGAACTCCCGGGCCACGGGGTGAAGAAGGTCCCCCTGGTCCCGCAGGGCCCCCTGGGCCTCAAGGTGCTGCCGGTAATCCTGGAATGATGGGAATCGTTGGCCCCAAAGGGCATCCGGGCCTCGCTGGTCTCAAGGTGGGTCTATCTTGAGATATCCATTATAATAAATCGCGTAGTCATTGATCAAATGTTAATTTTCTAATTTAGTTTCTGTGAAACATGTTACTAACTGTTGGTGACTGTTACACTGTTATCCCTGCTGCTAGTGATGACACTGTTATCTCTGCTGCTAGTGATGACACTGTTATCTCTGCTGCTAGTGATGACACTGTTTTCCCTGCAGCTAGTGATGGCACTGTTATCCCTGCTGCGGATGATGGCCCTGTTATCTCTGCTGCTAGTGATGACACTGTTATCTCTGCTGCTAGTGATGACGCTGTTATCTCTGCTGCTGGTGATGACACTGTTATCTCTGCTGCTAGTGATGACGCTGTTATCTCTGCTGCTAGTGATGACACTGTTATCTCTGCTGCTAGTGATGACGCTGTTATCCCTGCTGAAATGTTGGCCCGACCTCACAGGGTGAGCGAGGAAAAGCGGGTCGAGATGGAGAAGTTGGGCCCGCTGGGCCCCCGGGCCCTATTGGGGCGCCAGGAGTACAAGGTCCCGCTGGTCTCAGAGGACGTGATGGGAGCAAGGGGCCAGAGGGCCCGCCGGGCCCTCCTGGCAATGTGGGACTCCCTGGCCCAATGGTTGGTGACACCTCTAGAAACTTTCAATTAATTTTTCCGAATTTTATGTAATTAATTTGTCTGAGAGAATTAGAGATTAGATTTAAATTAATATTCTTTAATATTTTACGGACGCATAGAATTTTATTGCAGGATTGTGTCAGGTTTCGTTAATTTAAATACTTTATATTTCATTTCTATTTTAATATTATCGTTGTTTTTCTCAGGGCCCGCCTGGCGTGGTGGGGCCAGCGGGTCCTCCGGGACTTCAAGGGTTCACCGGCAAGCCCGGAACCCCGGGCCAACCTGGACCCCCGGGGGAGCCTGGGCCCCCTGGCGTGGGGGGAGGGGAGCTCATCGCTGGGGAACGACATTATGGCCTCCCTGGGGTCCAGGGCCCCATGGGGCCCCCTGGCATGGTGGGTCAACATTCTCATTTTTAAATTTGGATTAATTTGAATGTAGGATGAACAATTAGATTATTTTTTCAGTTCTGGAAGTCGGCCTATTATGGGAGTCTCAAGGTGGAGAGATGACTGTAAAGTTTCATTCACGCTCTGGCGACTGAAGGGAAAGTTACACAATTGCGTCGTGTAACAAAGACATTGGTTGAAGATAACCATAAAAACATACATATTTTATGCAAAGTTAAGTCAGTGTTCAACTTCCTTAGAATTTTTTTCTAGTGGCTCGTATATTAGTAGCAACTGACAGACGTTACTAATAACAACTTACAATATTATCTATATATTTTTAATATATAGGTACTCATTCCCAATATAACATTATTTATTACAAATATATAATTGTAATACTACATCTGATGCTGCAGATGTTGCAAGTTAAGTTGATGTCGGTGCGACCACGCCACTTCTAGAAAATGTTCATTTTAAAAATGTATAGAGATTTTTTTCGCACTTAGAGTTACACAATCTTACACCAAATTATAGAGATTAACACAGGATACACAAACTTTCTCCAGGTATCATAAAGTTATACAAATCCACACTGAAACACAGAGATATACAGAGTCACATGGAGCCAGAATACACATGTGTGGAAATTGTATTGTATATTGAGAGAATGAACTTTGTATATAAAAAGGAGAGTGACTCTATGTATAAGTGAAGGTAATTTTATATACAGGAGAGAAGTAATTTTATATATAAAGTATATATACAGAGTAACGCCCTCATATATATAATATATATATGAAAAGAGTAACGCCCTCGACAGCCCGGCGAGAGAGGCGCGGACGGCGAGCGTGGACCCGCGGGCAAACAAGGCAACCCCGGGCTCCCGGGCGCTCACGGGTCCACGGGCCTACCGGGGCCAGCGGGCCAACGTGGCCCCCCCGGCAACCCTGGCGTCGATGGCACCCCCGTGAGTAATATTGATTATTTCGATTGCGATTTGCACATTATATTTTTTACATATTATGGGGGGATAAGATCATATTGAGATATTGAGGCGAATTGATATTGAGGAATAAGAACTTTTAACGTTATTGGGGGTGAAAATTTGTGATTATCATTTCTCGCGACGAAATACACAATGCTAATGGACATCATAAATTTAAATTTATATTATAGGTGCCGATATTTGATACGTATTTAAAAAAATTTGTTATCATAGTGGAAATTATCACATGGCATATATGATTGATTAATATCTAATTAAAGTCTATGGGTTTTACATAGTTTATTGCAATAAGAGTTTATTGCTCGGTATACGCGCACAGGGCCGCGAGTACACCGAGGCAGACCTGCGGGAGATCTGCGCCTCCGTCCTGCGATGTGAGTACAAATCCTGCGTGGCGTAGCGCAGGAAATGTAAGAGGCATGTTTAAGATGCAGCCAAATCCTGCGTGGCGTAGCGCAGGAAATGTAAGAGGCATGTATAAGATGCAGCCAAATCCTGCGTGGCGTAGCGCAGGAAATGTAAGAGGCATGTTTTAGATGCAGCCAAATCCTGCGTGGTGTAGCGCAGGAAATGTAAGAGATATGTTTTAGATTCAGCCAAGATAAAAAGAGAATAGAAATGCGAGCTTTGTTTGCTCTTTTCTAAATAATATTAATTTATTCCAAACATTGTTCTACAATTATTTAAGCGCTTTGTGCCTTCATTCAAGTTTTTTTCCATTTGCGTCCCCCAGCCCAGCTAACTGAGATTGCCAAGACCCTGCGTGGCCCACCGGGCCCACCGGGACAGGGACTGCGAGGACCTCCTGGCGAAGAGGGCGACCCTGGAGTGCCAGGTAAGACCCGCTAGAGGCTGTCCCAAGTTGCCAGACCCGCTCGCGGTTGTCCCAAGTTGTCGGAAGCATATTAATTATTTTTCTACAAACGGTAACACTCGTTACCATGCCTTTAGGAAAGATTATTTTTGACGACGGTCAATGTATCCGTATGTAAAAGGTTAAACCTTTGCCAACTGTTGCTGATTCTGGTGATCGCGCCTCAACCTACTACTAGCATTAACAAAATATCAGCAAGATATTTCAGTCTCAAATACTTGGCTGTGAGTTGAGGTTTTATATGCAGGGCAAGTTTTTTCAATCTTACTTTTGTATATTTTTCACACTTTTTCGTTTGAAGCCTGACGCTGTAAATGTATTGAGGCAGTTGGGGTGCGTATCCGCGATACTTATTGCCTTGGGATATTGCCGGGGAATTGTATTTTCAATGATGGAAATTTGACAAATGTGGGTTTGGACGAGGTCTTCCTCCGAATAAGGTACTTTATTTTAAAATTATCAACTGGATTTGGAACGACTTTGTTCGGGTTTCGGGATTTTGAGACCGTCAGGTATTATCAAAAATGATAATATGGCAAGTATTGTAACTCCCGGACAACGGTTAATCAATTCGTGTAATAATGATAAGAAAATATTAGAAGAATATTATTGTTTTTGAGGTTCTTAAAGTCGTCCTCCCGGGCAGGTCTGGCCGGCATTCCTGGTGAGGTTGGCCCCCGCGGGTACACGGGCCATCCTGGGGCCACGGGCCCTCAGGGCTCACCCGGCCCACCAGGCCCAAGGGGATACAAGGGCGAGCGCGGCGAGATGGGCGAGGGCAGAGAAGGCCCACCTGGCCCCGCTGGGCCCCCAGGTGGGTCTCCTTCTATGACAAAGAAATTGAAAAAAATGACCCAAAACTCCCTCCATTCTTTCATAGTTAGCTCTTATACTCGGAAAAATTCGTGATACTTTGTCCAAATAGTGTTTTTTTTTACTTATGTGGGTCATCCTAACCCAGTCCGACTTTGGGCATTAGTCGGGCTACAGAAAATTCTATCTTTCAATATCTTTCTCTTGAACGTCACAGGCCCCGAAGGCCCCAAGGGGACAGGGGAGCGAGGCCGCATGGGTGACCGAGGGCCCCCGGGTCAGATGGGCCGCCAGGGGGGACGGGGGTCTCCGGGGCCCCCGGGCCAGCCGGGCTACTGCGAGCACTGCAACGGAGCCCTGGCCTACTCCGCGGCCTCACAGGGCAACACCAAAGGGCCTTAGGGATCTTCTTAGGGCGTTAGGAGTCATTGAAGGGTTTTAGGGGTCTTCAAATGGTTTTAAAGGCCTTTAAAGGGTCTTAAAGGCTTTTGAAGGGTCATAGGGACCTTTAAAGGGTTTTAAGGGCCTTTGAAGGGTCTCAGGGGCCTCTAAAAGGTCTAAGGAGCGTTTTTAGGGTCTTAGGGCATTTTAAGGGTCCTTGGGGGGCTTTCAATGGTTTTAGGGGTACACCAAAGGGCAATAGGGGACCACAAAAGGGCTATAGCGTTCGTTAGATGGTCTTGGAAGTGTCTAAATGACCCATCAAATGGCGTAGACCAAAAGAGGCCTCAGTACCCCATAAAAAACCGCTCAGCCGGTTGCCGGTGGTGAATAAATGGCCGATTTTTAGCGGGCCAAAAATGTTTTTATGTCCAAAACAAAATTGTATTGGAATTTGATTATTCAAGCTGTATGACAATTAACTTTTACGAAGATGACTAGTAATTCATTTTTTCATCTCATTCACCGCTTGTCATAATCTAATTTGCTCAAGTCATAATAAATCTAAATCAAAATTCAATCCTATTAAACTTCAATTATTGAGATAAAGCAATTAAAGATTTCTTCTTCTTTCTGGTCTAGTAAAAAATAACAAGGCAATTGTTTCAACATGTCCTCAAAATTTGTTAGTAAACATTTCATTCAAGACCTGCACGGAGGACATTTTCTTGGTGACCTGCAATAGAGGATCAGGATATATACGACACGAGTCTGTACATGAATCTATTACACTATGTTCCCATTGACCTCGCTGGAGGACAATCGCAGTGCGTTTCACGTCGGGAGAATTCAAACAGAATTGAAGAGTTTATTTTTAATCAAATACATTTACGTCCAGTTACTTACATTAGTATAATCGCGCAGATAATATAGCGTCTGAGAAACGAAACACTGATACTTACAACCAAATTTCAGGTACGAAAGTTGAAAATTTCAAGAATAAATGCCCTAGGCATAGAGAACGAGATTTAACCGATATCACAGCAGTGAAGCGAAGCAAAGACAGCATATACAGAAAATCAAGGAGCGTAAAAATGATAGAAGGAAAGAAATGAGGCCAGTACTAATATAAAAAAATTATGGTACAAGAAATTTAACCACTATTTACCTTGTACTAATAAATCAATATAAAACACAGTGGAACAACGTGAAAACAATCGCATTGAACAGAAAATAAGACGGGAGGAGGTGAGTTAAAGAAATGTTTACATGCTCCCGCATGTTTAGAGAACTGAGTATTGATCACGTACTTTACTCTTATATCTCGCGTAAATACGGCCAGTAACGCCAGAAATTAAACGTCAGAAAACCGTTATTCTCACGTCAGCATACGCGTCATGGACGGCAGCCTGGCGGGCAAGAACCTTTGCTCATAAAACGAACTGATAAGATAAAAATGACAGTGAGTTTTGTGCTGACAAAAATAAGAGATCCAGTGGAGGTTAAGTGCTTCGTAACGATGATAGTGGATAGATAGTCAATTATACACGCAGAAAAATGAAGAAGTCAAACTATCCACGTAGTGACACAATTTCTTATACACACAGTTCGAGCAGATATAGGATGTAGCACTGATATGTCCTTCAGCGGAGCCAAATTGAGTCAGGATGGCCCACTTAATGGATAGGAGTAGGAGTGCATTGCGATTTGAACAAATCCCACTTATTTCTCTGATTGGATGTTTGAGCAATGAAGAACAACAAGCAAGCATTAAACAATACTGCTATTTTAAAAATAACCGTAATTTTCTTCTAAGAACACTGGAACATAAATCAACAAATCTAAATCACAACACACGCAGGTGGTCGAGAATTGCTTCAGTTAAATTATTGCAACACAACCATTACGAATGGCACAAAAGTAGACAATAAAATTCATTTGGAAGTGAAGGATGTAAATACCGTTGCTCCTTCGTTAACTTTACATGAGCAAATTACCATAGAATTGGAGATGAGGGCACCGTTATTACTGACATGAAGAGCATGAGGTTGAGATGTACAGCTCAGTCGAAAAAATTAACCACCATTAATTCTAGCATTCCGTTTAAAGAAATAAAATCGATATTTTGCATATGCTAGTCATTGGATCAACGCTTGTAATAATCGAGATTTCCAAGCAATGAAGTAACATAAAATGCTTACAACACAGAAGTTTCTCACGAAATACTCGAGATAAATCGTGACGTAATCTCCACATCGTCGACAAAAATATTTACAGCAAATTTGCGGTGATTGTAATTAAAATTCAATAATTCACGCCATTACTCTCCAGCCAATATAATTCATTTGTTGATGGAGGTTCAGTTTCAAATTTTAGTTTAATCATAAAATGTTTTCCGAATATTCGTACTAGGGACAGGGATCATATGTGTGACTCCTACAGTTGTGCGAACGTTTCAATATTTATCAACTTGATTTATGGTGGAGCAGAAATAATAAATGATTTTTTTACTGTAACATGTCCCTAACTGCTACTTTGTTTAATTCATTAACTTTTTGGCTAAAATTATTCGCCATAACGAATTTCACAAGTTTTTGCCTAAAATACTTGTGAATGACAAATAATTCGAGTCATTGAAACCTGCACTTTGACGAACATATACCTAAAAGGACAGCTACCCGTACTTTGGTGGTGAACGCTTCCTATTTAAGCTAAATATTGGAATGCCACATTTGCAATGCATCGTACAACAGAGAAACAGAAACAGCGAATTCAAGCCTCCTCTTCCCCAGCCCCGACGGCAGCAAAACCAACGAAATCAGCGTCGGGGCCTTCAGTACAAGACGAAGACGAAGAGCTGTCCTCGGTGACGCCAACCGCATTATGGTTACAGGATGGTGTGGTAGAACTGGCAAGAGCCTCACCAGCATCAGTGGTACCGGCATCGCCGGTAATGCTTTGGGAAACGTCATCATCTGCATCAGATATCGCATCAGCACTCAACACACTATCTGTGTCAACAGCACCACCAACATCAGTTGTAACAGTCGCACCACCAGCATCAGTTGTAACAGTCGCACCACCAGCATCAGTTGTAACAGTCGCACCACCAGCATCAAGAACCTGGCACTGCCGTATGGTGTTATTAAAGCTGCGCGTGAGGTTTGCTACACCCCCAGGAATAATCTTCTCGTTCGAAACAATGTCACCAACGTTGCAGATGTTGAATGAATTATCTGAATCAGGTTGAGAGCTAACATGAGTAGCGTCAGCAATGGGGTTAGTTTCTGCAGGAGGGTTAGCACTGTGAGGAACTTTGACATCGTCTCTATTATTCCTAACCGAGGAATTGGACTCTGCATGATCTGAACCAAGGGCATCTGCAGGCGACACGCGAGCATGTGCAGGCGACACGCGAGCATCTGCAGGCGACACGGGGGCATCTGCAGGCGACACGGGGGCATCTGCAGGCGACACGGGGGCATATGCAGGCGACACGGGGGCATCTGCAGGCGACACGGGGGCATCTGCAGGCGACACGGGGGCATCTGCAGGCGACACGGGGGCATCTGCAGGCGACACGCGAGCATCTGCAGGCGACACGGGGACATCTGCAGGCGACACGGGGGCATCTGCAGGCGACACGGGGACATCGCCTCTCAGAGCATCAGTACAATGTGGTGAAGCATCAGCAGAAGTTTGGTCCATACTTGCTTCTCCTGCAGAAGGTTGGGCGTCATTGTTTTGATCGCTTGCGCGGAAAGATTTTTCCTCGAGAGATTTTTGAACGTTGGAAGGTTTCAAGTCGTCATCGGGATCTGAAATCTTTAATGGTTGCAACTCTCTGCTAGAAGAAGCAATGTCATCGCAAGAAAGTTGATGGCTGAAACCCTCATTTGACGGAAGCTTTGACTCGTCTTGAGTGGACGATGAGACCTCATTGCCAGCATCAATATCTGACGGTCTATCGGCCGTTGACTCTATTGCACTTTGAACCAAAGGCGCTTCACTGCCAGGAAGGTCCGATCTTTCGTTCCTGCCTTCAATATTTTTAGATTCAGTGACATCAACTTCGGCAGCTGCAGTCTTCCCGGACGTAGAACTACACGAGGGCTGTGGGATGCCCAAGTCACCCGCCAAGTCGGACTCTCCCAGAAACGCGAAGAGCGTCTTAAGGTCTCCTATAGTCATGGACAGCTCGTCAGACGAGGCAGGAGGAGCTTGATCCTCCTCCTCTTCATCTTGGTCTTCCATAGGATCGTCAGTTCTTTTCGACGCATCGTCAACCTCAACAGACTTAGTAGATCCACCAATTGATTTATCGTTAGCCTCAGTAGAGGTAGATGGACCACCAATTGATTGATGGCCAGCCTCAGTAGAGGTAGACGGACCACCAATTGCTTGATCGCTACCCTCAGTAGAGGTGGAGGGACGATCAACGTTTACACCCGCCTCACTTTTCCCGGGACTCTCAGTGTCATCGTCCGTGGTCTTGGCCCGGCCAGGATAGTGGTGCAGAGAGCCCAGTATGCGGAACATGCGGTGCTCGATGGTACCACGCACCAGGAAACGATGCACCACCGTCGCCTTGGTCTGTCCCATGCGGTGGATACGCCCCACAGCCTGCAGCTCAGCAGCAGGGTTCAGCAGAGGATCCACCAGGAAGACGTGGCCCGCCTCCGTCAGGTTCAGGCCGTTCGCTCCCGACATGATGGGCAGCAGCAGCGCCGTGATCTCCGAACGAGATCGGAAAGCAGACAAGTTTACCTAGGAAGAAAATACGTACAATGAAACATCCGTACCAATATCAATTCATTTTATCATTTTTTTACAATATGAGAGATTAAAAAACAGGAGGCCATTATCAAATTATATTAACAAAATGAGTAGAAAATTGCGAAGCGAAGAAGTACCTAGGTACACATTCATAAAAAAACTAAAACATACGCTAAGAAAGGGCATTGACTCAAGCAGCTGCCAAAATGTATCACGTATAAAAAGAGTACATGAAAGATTGAACGCAGAACTTAGAAACATGGTACTTGGAGGCACTACCGCACCTGGAACTTGTTGCCTTTCTTCAACATCCTGAAGGGTATGCCGTTCTGGGCGAGGCCGTCAGCGATGACGTCGAGCACTTCATTCCAGGAGGAGAAGACGAGCACCTTGGCCTTAGGGTCCTCAGACTTGATACGCAGCATCACGCGCACCACCTCTTCAGTTTTGCTCGACAAGCTCCCCACCACCTTCACGCTTAAGTCTTCGTCCTTCTTGACAGATACTTTGTTGTCGACATAAGATATGTCACGAACCATCGTCAACTGACGACACAGCGGACACTTGACAGACCCGCGCTGTAAGCCTACCACGAGGATATTTTTCCTCGTGCAGATGAGCATCATGCAGCCTTTGCAGAAGCAGTGACCACACAACAGGACTGCCCAATCTTCCCCCAGCGCACAATGACAGATGGGGCAAGGATCAGGGTTCTGTCCACCACTGGTATTAACATCTTTTTTCTGAAGATTCTGCAGGTACAGCAATTGCCCAAGTTTGATCCGCAGTTCGTTCTCATTAACGATCTTCTCATTCCTGAACTTGAGTTCTTCTTCAGCGACCTCATTCTCTTCCAAGACGTACCTCAGCACCTCAACGTCGTCGCGCAGCAGATCATCTCCTTCGTTCTTCTTCTTCACTTTGCGAAGTTTAGGCGGGAGTTCCTCGTCGGGATAACGAAGACGCAGTCTGAGCGTAGCCATGTTCACTTCATCATGTCCAGACACTAAATCAAAGATGCAGCGCCAAAAGATTCGGTAATTGAAGAACTCTCGCTTCATCGCCTCAAAGATCTTCAAATGTGTTTGTCCGTCCTCGTGGACTTCGGCAGACACTTTGCCCAGAGAACGTGTCTGAAGATACTTGAATATCTTCTCAACTTCGCTCAAACCAAAGTTGCCTTTACGTGTAGCTTCCATCACTTGTGCTTTCTCTTTGATATCGGCAGTTTCTTTTGATTTCTCAGTGGTGCGTGTGTGCTGCTTGTCTGTGATGAGGAACAGATTCTTCTCATACTCGCGAAAGAGCTCGTGTATGGCGCATATTTTGCACTGGGGAGGCTTTCGTTCAGTGGGTCGAAGGTGGCAGTCGATGGCGGCTTCCAAGAGGTCCTTGGGGTCAGCATCAGCGAGCGACTCCACTCCTTTGATCATCGCCTTGCGTTGGGCATTAATGAGCTTGGTGCGCGTCTGAAGCATCGTCTTGAGCTGATGTTTGCTCAGCACGTGGTACAACACGCTCTTGTTCTCTTCAAATCGCGAGTATAGAGACAGCAGCTCATCGCGGACCTGACCAAAGCATATAATTGCACCAATCAAGCAGAACATTGCAACGAAGAATGAATAGTGGAACTTATCCTGCATGAGAACTTCCTATTCAAGGTCTTTAGACCACATAATTGAGGCATAAAAAATCATAAATAACATATTCGCTCCATATAAACGAAATGTCATAGTAAAATTAATACATTGTGAAGGTGGTCATATTGCACCATAGCAACGAAACATCCAGTTCGTTATCGTGAAGAGATGGCCAAAAGAAAATACCTCCTTGACGAAGTCGTCCCCGAAAGCCTGTAGGGTGGACAGCCACCAGTCCGTCTTGGAGACACGCGCCTCCTCCAGCTGCATCACCTGAGCTTGGTTGAGGTGGCAGTCCTTCTGCGCCTCCTTCATTTTGGTCGAGTATTGCTTCAGGTACCTGCAGCAATATGTGACGCAATACATTTACACGTGTAGATACAATACATTTACACGCGTAGATACAATACATTTACGTGTATTGCTTTAAAGATCCGTAAAAATGAAATACTGTATATGTTCATGAGAAGTCATCAAATTCTACTTAGTGATAAAGCAACAGACACAAGAAATCATTGGGTGAAGGCAACGCAACACTGGTACTTTCCTAAGAACTGCTAATCGAGGAAAATTCTAATTTTGCCACACAAATATTTTACTAGTACCTCGACGTGAATAAGTGCAATAGTTCGACTGACTAAATTACAACAGGGGCTAAATTACCACCCAATAATTGTTCGCAATACTTGCTTATTTATATGTGACAGTCACCACAACAAAAATCATGAAAAATTACATGTTATCTTCAGTCTAGGCTCTGCTTCTAATGCTAACTTTCTGTCCGCGCCTCACACATTGAGAAGCATTGAGTCAATGTAATAGCTGAGAATGGTCGAGGCGACCCATTCCCTCTAGCAGCGCCTTTTAATCATTTTCCTTTTATTGTGCCAAATGTCAATGAAACAGTAGAGAGTGGGTCGAGGCGACCCATTCCCTCCAGCAACGCCTTTTAATCATTTTCTTTTTATTGCGTCAAATGTCAATGTAACAGCAGAGAGTGGGTCGATGTGACCCACTTTTCTTTGATGTCTGCAGCACGCTGTGCGAGCTCGTCGTCATCGAGGGTGTGGGGGATGTTGGGGTGTCCCGCAGCGAGCAGCTCGTGCAGGTTGTGCAGCGCGTGCAGCCGCTGCAGCGAGTCCGTCTTGAAGTGATGCGCGTGCTCCGCCGCCGACGACAGCACAGCTCTGACGGACAAGTCTTTGATTAAATTAAATGACAGGAGGTTGCCTAATTCGAGTGAATAATAGGAGGTTACTTAACGTGAGTATATGGCAGGAGGTTACCTAATTAGAGTGAATAAAAGGAGGTTACTTAACGTGAGTATATGGCAGGAGGCTACCTAATTAGAGTGAATGGCAGGAGGCTACATAATTTAGAGTGAATAATAGGAGGTTACCTTATNTATACACATCTAGATGTGTATAAGAGACAGAGGTTACTTAACGTGAGTATATGGCAGGAGGCTACCTAATTAGAGTGAATAATAGGAGGTTACCTTACGTGAGTATATGGCAGGAGGCTACCTAATTAGAGTGAATAATAGGAGGTTACCTTACGTGAGTATATGGCAGGAGGCTACCTAATTATAGTTAATAATAGGAGGTTACTTAACGTGAGTATATGGCTTAGGCTACCTAATTAGATTGAATAATAGGAGTTAACCTGTAATGCTCGGCGGCTTCGGCCCACTCGTGCCTGATGACGCAGACGGCGGCCAGGCCGTTCCTGGCCTTCACGAGGACCCGGTGCGCGTCTTCGGCCTGCGTCTTGGTGCGCTCCACGAGGCGCTCCAGCAGCTCCACCATACTGAGGGGGCCCTTCTCGCGTGGCCGCGTGAACGCCCCTCGCACCACCTGCATGAGGAGAACCTTATGTAATAATGTACAGATTATATCTGTATATATCCACGAACATACGTAGACCCATGTGCATATGGAGGCCCATGTACACATGGAGTTGCAATATATTTATTTCTCACAAATGTGTACACATGGAGAGGCAATAATAACGAGGACTGAGAGAAGAATAACGAGGGACGGAAGAGAAGAATAACGAGGACTGAAAGAGAAGAATAACGAGGGATGGGAGACGAGAATAACGAGGGATGGAAGAGTAGAATAACGAGGGATGGAAGAGAAGAATAACGAGAAGTGGAAGAGAAGAATAACGAGGGATGGGAGAGAAGAATAACGAGGGATGGAAAAATATTAATACGAGGGATGGAAGAGAAGAATAACGAGGGATGGAAGAGAAGAATAACGAGGGATGGAAGAGAAGAAAAACGAGGGATGGAAGAGAATAATGAGGGATGGAAGAGAAAAATAACGAGGGATGGAAGAGAAAAATAACGAGGGATGGAAGAGAAGAATAACGAGGGATGGAAAAATAATAATAACGAGGGTTGGACGAGAAGAATAACGAGGGATGGAAGAGTAGAATAACGACTGATGGAAGAGAACAATAACGAGGAATGGAAGAGAAAAATAACGAGAAATGGAAGAGAAGAATAACGAGGGATGGAATAGAAAAATAACGAGGGATGGAAGAGAATAACGAGGGATGGAAGAGAAGAATAACGAGGGATGGAAGAGAAGAATAACGAGGGATGGAAGAGAAGAAAAACGAGGGATGGAAGAGAATAATGAGGGATGGAAGAGAAAAATAACGAGGGATGAATAACGAGGGATGGAAGAGAAGAATAACGAGGGATGGAAGAGAAGAATAACGAGGGATGGAAGAGAAGAATAACGAGGGATGGAAGAGAAGAGTAACGAGGGTTGAGAGAGATGAATGACGAGGGATGGGAGAGAAGAATAACTAACGAAGGATGATAGAGAAGAATAACGAGAAATGGAAGAGAAGAATAACGAGGACTGAAAGAGAATAACGAGGGATGGAAGAAAAGAATAACGAGGGATGGAAGAGAAGAATAACGAGGACTAAAAGAGAAGAATAACGAGGGATGGAAGACGAGAATAAAGAGGAATGGCGAATGAGAAGAAGAGAAAAAGAAAGAAAGAGTGAAGAGACCTGTGGATGGTTGCAGGCTTGTCGTAGCTTGAGCAGCGGCTGGAGCAAATGTGCCAAAGTTTTCCTGTCGAGGTCGCCGAGTCGCACGCGGTCGCCGAACTTAGAGAGTCGATGTCGCGCGTCGCGGGAGCATTCGTTGTGCAGCTGCCGGTAGAAGTGCTCCTCCACGCCGCTGAACTGCACCCAGTGGATCTGGAAATAATTGAGTTATAAAATGAGTGGAGAGACAAACAGAATAAAAATAAAAATTTCAAAAGGATTCACGCTGAGCTGAGCCCCGTGGATCTGGAAACAAGAGGCGCTCGGACTAAGAGGAGGTAAAAAGAGGAAGTAGCCAAAAAAATGAAAATAAATCGTAAAAATATTCCCGCTTAACCACACACAGTGTCTGAAAACAAGAAGCAGTGTGACGAGAAAGAAGTAAAAAGTGGCAAGGCCAAGAAATTGAAAACAAATGTAACAACAGAAACGAAACCTCGTGTGACCTATATGAAAGATACAAGTTTCATGCTTTTATATGATACAAAAAAGGCAATTTTATTTCCAAAATAATCATGAATCAACTAGCTAGAGTGCAGCTGTGAAGCTTCGTTGGCAGCTGTGGCACAGTCTCATTCCCCAGTAACGTTACTGTAACAACTACGATTACCACAAAAACAAATATAACAAAAACAACATACCTACGCAACAATAACACTGAGAACAAACATAAGCATGACATCTCACAGTTTCAGTCTGAGGAGGCAGGTCGATCTGGTGGATGATGTCCTTCTTAGTGTTGCGCCACATGAGGCCAGGCAGGAGGGCATGCAAGGGGCCCACGTCCCCGTAGCAATAACTCTCGTACATCACGCGGGTCCACCACGTCTCCAGACCCCACGGGTCCACGCCCAGGAACAGCAGTAGACCCTGAATACAATGTAAACCAATGTTAGTCTCACTTCACATATCTTCCAACCCAATGTTTTTACACAAGTGCAGCATACACTTTTTATCTAGTTTTCTATCAAATTCTGGACTTTCTGAGCCTTCTTAGGATGCAGGTTTATTTTAATTACAAGCAATCTTCCTCACCCATGGAACATTAGTAAAAATCTCAAGTTCATCGGCGCACGTCACCATTCAAGCTAAAAGAATAATACTAGTAAAGCCAAATTCCACAATTCTGCTGATAGTTCACGCATGATAATCAGCGGTCTGATAGAGCATGCAGTGTATCAGTTGCGGGGCATGAATTATCAGAGTATCAGTTCTGTACGATGAGCTGCCAGGCAGCCATCACACAGCGGTGATTTTAATAAGCGTTTCGCACGTAGCAGCCCCAGGCCACGTGGCAGCCCCAGGCCACGTAGCAGCCCCAGGCCACGTAGCAGCCCCAGGCCATGTAGCAGCCCCAGGCCACGTGGCAGCCCCAGGCCACGTAGCAGCCCCAGGCCACGTAGCAGCCCCAGGCCACGTAGCAGCCCCAGGCCACGTAGCAGCCCCAGGCCACGTAGCAGCCCCAGGCCACGCCGGTGCGTCACTTAGTATTCCGCCCTCGGTAGGCAGGCTGTCCTCGCCGTCAAGGCCCCGAGGGCAGTGGGACATAACTACCGTGCGGTCATGCCGTGATCAGATGGAAGAGGTGCAGTGCTCACCTGTAGGTCGTGCAGTGATCGCTGGATGGGCGTGCCAGTGACGCACCACCTGTGCTGTGCCTGCAGGCGCAGCGCCATGTGTGCTGTGCGTGCTGTGGTGGTCTCGACGAGTTGTGCCTCGTCCAGCACACAGCGCCACCACAGCACACTCAGCAGCGGCGTGGGGGCGGCCATGAAGCGCTTCGGGTACCGGAACCTGCAACATATTTACTGATTATTAACCTGCGGCCAGCAACAAAGAACAAACCTGCGGCCGAGGTCGCTGTTGCTGTGCGGCAGGTCGACGTAGTTGAGTTCCCTGCTGAGCGTCTCGTACGACGTGACGACCAGGTCGAAGCTGGCTAGTGTGCGCGGCTGTAGGTAGCCCTGGTGAGCCATGCCCTTGTACACGAGCAGCTTCAGCGCCCGGTGACGCAGGTGCTTGCTGATCTCGTCAACCCACTGACAAAAACAAACTAAACTTTAAACCTGCAACAAGGGTCACAAATCTAAGGATACGTTACAAAACCTTTTATCTGTGGAAACGTTAATTGTCGTCAATTCTACTCGTTTCTGAGTGTAAGGGAACGAAGGGTAAATATTTTGTAAACGGGTAAATTAACCATAAACGCTTTTTTAACTTGAAGAAATATTGGTATTGAGAGTTACCGTTATAGTAGTTAATTATGTTAAACCGCCGTCATTTGGTCGAGTGTAGAAGAATGAGAACTCGGCAGTCTTGAAGATATAGATGATAACCACCGAGTTGAAATTTTGGGAAATGTATGAAGAATTATGCAGCCTCGTGTCATTAAATACGGTACAAAATAGGTCCCTCAACATTATACACAAAAGATTCTAGAGAGCGTGATCAGATTTAATAAAAAATTTAGGCTGCCATCCAAATTAATGGCAAAAAATTGAACTTTTCCGTACTTTCGCCCCCCCCCCAAAATGTTCTTTTTGACCTAAAAGTAAAGCCAAAAAATTTGAATGAGATGTTTCAATATTTATTGGTTGCACGAAAACTTTATTTTTCTTTTTATAATGCCCAATTGCTGTTTTTTATGACAATATTTGATTTTTATGTCGAATGATGCATGAGTGTAAATTTTTACTTATTTACAGGAAATTAACAGTTGGGTTACATCGGTACTCTTTGCTGGCAATGCTAGGTTGAAGTTTATTTCCTGCCAGACTATTTGTTTGAGCAGAAATTATCCCGTCATGTCGTGCAGTCCAGACCTCCACAAGACAGCAGGTGAGGCTACAACGCTGTGCTTCTATCTTGCTCATAATTTGTACCACAAGAACAAATGAAACAATAGCGTATTCCTTATTTCATATAAGTATAGTATATCACTGAGATATATTGTAGAATACCATTAATTTAACCTCTGACTTAAAAAAAAAAATAATTTAAAATTGATGCCTTTGTGCCAGTTTGAATATTTATTAACGGACCCCTTTTTTTTTTGCTGCTGAACGTGGTATTTCTTTGATAACGAACTGCAACTCAGTAGTGCACCGTACGTAATTGATTCAAGATTCATTAGTAAAAACTCAACATTCATTGTGCAACCACTAAACGGAATTTGATTATTAAAATTTTAGGTTTATGTCTATGTAGTTGAACAAACCTGGACCAGGAGATCAGTAAAAAAATTTTTTTTTGCTTGGCACCCCACAGTGATGGATGATATTCATCAAACCTGATAAGTGATGGACGACGGAGCCACAATGAGGGTAGCCCCGGATGGCACAGGGGGCTGTTGGGTCCAGCAGTGGGGACAGACGTACACCCCGCGGTATGGGTCACGGGTGTCATACTCGACACATCGCGCGTGCTGGTGCAGGCCGCACACGCTGCACTGCACGGTGCCCTGCTCCCGCCCTGCGTCCCGAGGCGTCTTGTCTTCACCGCAGATGCACTCGAAGTACGCCTTCCGCGCCACCTATAGTAGCCATTAACAATAGTATAGTGCATTACATAGTACATTAACATACAATAGTACTGTAATATGTATAATAGTACAGCACATTACATAGTACATTAACATAGGTACAATAGTAGTGTACTATGTACAATAGTACAGTACATAGTACATTATCAATATGTAATATATCTTCTAGTCCGCCTCTGATAATTGTTAGTGACTGTGAATTAACGTTATACATGATAAGGAGCATAAATAAGATTTTAGCACATTATAAAGACATTATTTGTTCATCAAGGAGATTATATTATGTTTGGGATAAGACTATGGATTTATCACGGCAGCTAAGCAAGACGGGACTTGTAATGTTGGTGTAAAATACGTCAAACACTCGGCCTGCTGTTCTTTTTTGATATTACGACAAAAATAATCATTATAGAACCAAAGATACTCAAAGCTTTAGCAAAGAATTACACGAAATAAGCACTAGTCAGAGAATTATTTACTAACACATAGAGGGAATCTAGAATACGGGCAAATCAGTTATTTCTAGCGTTAAAAAAGTACAACGATTATAGTGAGCTGCAAAGGTGATGTTGACCTGATACAAGTTCAGGCCTCATGAGCATGACATGAGGAAGTGCATGATAGTTACCTTGGTCTTGAAGAAAGACTGTCTCCAGGTCTTGTTGTAATCTTTAGATGCGGCGCTCGCACATGAATAAATCGCTGTTTCTTGTTTATATTGAAGAAAAAGTTTCTCTTTTAAAGACATAAGGTAAGTTGGATCCTTCTTCACTTGTCGCAAATAGTCTGCAAATTCTTTATACGAGCCTTCCTTCTTGTACTTGGCGACGTCATTGTTCCAGCAAACTGATCGTATCACCGTTTCAATGGTCAACCAGTTGGGATTCAGCGAGATTTCTTCGTCAATTCGATTTCTTTTGACTTTCTTTGGTGGTGGTGACGTGGCGGGGGAGTCGGTTTGCCGAGACCGTCTAGTTCGTCTTCTTGTCTTGCAAGGCTCTTCATCATCAGACGACACAGGGCTGGAGTCGTAACATAAGTCGTCCATGTCACTGTAACTAAAACTGCATTTCCGCCTCCTCTTTGTGCGTGGTTTGCTAGAGTCATCGTCAGTGTGATTTTTGCTGGCTTTCCTTTTACGTTTCCCGCCGTAAGATTCGTCATTGGCTTCATCGTCGGAGCTTACTAGTTGCTGTGGTTTGGCGCGACGAGGGCCTCGCTTTGAGCGCGATGTCTCGACGACGTAATCCTCGTCCTCACTCTCAACTTTGAGCTTCCTCTTTCGAGACGAGCGTCTCACCTCTATTTCGCTATCAGAACTACTGTTAAGGCCTGGTTTCGGTGACAGCGCACGGATAGCCACAAGTAGATCGTTATTATCCGAGTTCGAAAGTTCATTGTTTGGAATCGATCCCTGTTCAGCTTCATTCGATTTCTCCTCTTCCTCATCAGTATCGAAATTGATGATATCGTCGGAAGCTGTTTTCTTTTTACGGCGACGCCCTTGAGGCAGTTCCTCCAGTATAACAGGCGCAAGGTACTCGGGCTTGGGCAAAGGACCGCACGGGTTGTTCAGGATACACGCGAGCACTTCGACCGTCTTCCCTAAACCCATTTCGTCAGCAAGGATACCGCCAGGAGTTGGTAGAATTTCAATTGGTTTGTTTTTGACGAAATAACCCCCGTACTTATTGTAATAGAGCTTGGTGCCGTCCAGCGCAGTGAGCTCCACAAAGAGACAGTGCATCTTTGGTTCCTCGTCTTCCTCGACTCGAGTTCTAACGTTTTCCTTGAAGAGCATCCACTGCACAGCAGCTCGCTGGTACGGTCTAAGAACAGGAATTAGGGATGGATGCTGTACGCTTTCATCAAGATATTTCTTCCCCTCGTGATAATTTTTCACGGCTGTGAAAAGGATATCGAAGTCATGCTTGAGTTTCTTGGTGCCGGTGTACACGGGGAGCTCTATGTCGTACAGGAGGCACACCGTGTCGGAGAGGCCCCGCATTGAAGTGATCACCTCGCTTGGGTGTTGCAGCTCCCGTAAGGCTGAATGAAGGAGGTACACATGCACCGTTACTTCCTTCGTCGTCGGGTCAAATGATGCAAATTTCAAATGAAAGTTTCGGGCACTAGCAAAACCGCACCATAGTGCATCATTTACAAAACCACTCAGTTGGAAATGCTTGAAGGAGTCGGGTTTTTTCTTCTTTTTGGAAGCTTGAGTTTGCTTACGAGGCTTTGGGCGTTCAGTAGCCCATTCAAAATATAGAGCACTGGAGTCGATATCAGGACAGATATATAAATAGCAGGAATCACACTTCTCCCATAGGGATAAATCAAGATCGGAAAACAGAACAAATTTGACCTCATTGAAGAGGCAAGCAGCAGACTTGGAGTCATCACGATTGATCTTCACTTTGATTAAGAAATTGTCAAGAACCTTTTCGAATTCCCCATAATACTGAATCTCCCCGCGCTTTTTTCTTTGTTTCGCTTTCCTGGCCACTTCATATCCGTCAAAGTCGAGGACGATGTCGTCGTCGCTCTCATAGTCGAGTGGAGTTCCCACAGATTCCGACAGAACTTCTATGCTATCATCGTCTTGGGCAAGCTCGTCACTGGAATCATCAATGTCAGGACTTGCATGTCGTGCGGCGCTACTTCGTCTGGTAGGCACAGGAACGTAGTCATCGTCAGAGCTGTCACTGTATTCGTCAGCAACATTGAAGACCACAGATTTCGATACTCTGTCTCTCCTGCCTCTTGTTCCCAGGCTCAGGATTGGCTGCAGGACTGGCAGCTCCTCTATCTCATTAGGGCTGCTATCATCATCAGACACCAATGTTAAAACATCATCTTGTGTACTTCCTTCAGCCGATGATGCAGTCGAACACCTCACCCATGTTAGGTTGAATCCTCCATTCTCGCTGGTGGAGGGTTGAGCCTCATCTTCCTGAGCATCAGACGTGCCAGACTTGAGGAGCGCGGCGATGTCAGGGTGGGCATCACTCACAGAATTAACAGTGGAAAGGTCCCACGATCCCAGGCGCTGGGCTACATCCCCCAGCTGCAGGGGATTACTGGCTTTTTTTCGTACCATGGCTAATAATATGAACCCCTTACCTACAGGGGTTAATTAAAAAAAATGATCCTAACGATTTTAAGCTTACTATGCTGTAAAAATAGAAACATTCATATCAAGTAACATTTGCTGGAAATTCGAATGTGCATCATACATTTAAATAAGAAAAGAGTGACATTGACTAAATAAAAATAGTGTTTTCTCCTACTCACTTCACTGCCCAACAATTCATTTCAATGGAGTTTTCAAGAATTATCATCCCTTAGATACAAAAGGACATATGGTCAATAATAAGATTGACCATCAGTTACACTTCACCATAGATGCTCATTTATCATCAATACAGGCAGTGGTTAACAACCAATAAGCAGCATAATGACCAATTACCTATACCGCTAACTAGGAAGGTATTAATGTGTTAAGCACTTTTTATGTCTAAGGCGTGATTCTTTTCATGTGTATTTACATACTCTTTGGTGGTTTCACAAAACTAACAAATTAACAATGGGTACCGTATGGGATAAATTATTTGAACTCAAAATATTTGAATGCAGAAATACCTACATAGAGGCTACATTTCTGATATGTTCAAAGGTCAAATAAATTTGTATTAGACTAAATGACTAAGAAATGCAAGGTAATTTTGCATGGGGTATTACATGATTTTAGTGACAAGCAGCAAGTGTGCAAGCCAAGGTAAGTGCAGTACATATCTGCTGAGTAGGGACTTGCGTATCATTGATGATTTGACAGTAGTTGTTGATTGAAAATCAGCCAATCTGGAGTATCAGCCAGAATTTTCTAAAAATAGCAGGAGAATAAACTATTGTTTGAATGATAATTTTTGAAAATTGCAGGTTCCAATAGGTAATTTTTCTTAATTTACACTAAAGAAATGGGGAAAAGGCCATAAAGACAAGTTCAATTTGTCAGATAACTCAGATTCATAGGTGTTTTGTGCTAATTCATGGTTGGCATCTGCCAAATTTTCCAGTTTACATCTGAGGCCTTGATGACTGTCGACTGACAAGGGACAAAGGTTGATGCATACTTGATATTAAATTTAATAAAATGATGATGATGACCCTGACAGGCTGACAGTTGATTTTTCATGTTTAACAATTTACTTGGTGCAGCAGTGGCCCATAGTGTCAATGCAGAGACTTATTTAGACTCCTCCTCAAGTTCACTTCTGAGTCCTATAAGAAGAAAAGAAAAGTATCATGGATACCAGCATCCAGCTGTAACCAGCATTATCATACATAAAAAATGGTTTAAATGTCAAGTACGGTAGATGAAGAAATTCAAAGTGAACTGATTCTAAAAAATCTAAGGTTTGTCCCTAACACACTATGACTGCAGACTGTCTGCAGTGCAGTACACACTAAGAATTGTCAGTGTTGTATATGTTAAACAGTTTATGGAAAATTTGAACATTATATGAAAGGGTAATACTTTAGATTAGGTGCATCCAAAAAAAAGGGTGTTTTTTATATATTTTTTGGGGTGTAGATTAAGAATCTGAAATCCATTTTTGGTGGTTGGCATCGGAAATTTTTAATGGAACCTGTTCCTAACTGGACCTAACCTGTGAGGTTTTTGTTGATTGGCTAGGTTTTTCCGGCCGCCGGACAGACTCCAAACATAGAAAAAACCTAGCCAATCAATGAAAACCTCGCAGGTTAGGTCCAGTTAGGAACAGTTTCCATTAAAAATTTCTGATGCCGACCACCAAAAACGGATTTCAAATTCTTAATCTACACCCCAAAAAACATATAATTAAAAAAAACAACTTTTTTCGATGCACTTAATCTAAAGTAATACCTATGCAAGTAAGCAAGTTAAAATTATTTTCAAATTCCATACAAAAGTCAACAGGGCTTAAAACGTTGAAGCGCTATGCTAACCTTCCTTAGGCTTAGCCATAGGTAGGTGGTTGTTGAGGCCTGAGGCATTGCCGGTTTTTAAATTACATACGGTACCATAAAATGGCGTAACTTTGACCACTTTTTCTTCAAAATGCAATTTTTTTACTAGATAAGTTTAACTTAAATTGAAACATGCAAAATACAGGTCTATACTCTAGCTTTACTTACCATAAATTGCTGGCTCCTGCCTCTCATAGTTTTGATGTAATTTAAAAAAAAGTGATGGTTTTTGTTACCCCAGCTCTTGGGGTTTCTTTGACCGGGTGGTAAAATCAATTTTATTTTTTGGTAAAATAACTCCAGGTTGTGGTGCATTGTAGTAGAACTCTTCTAGTTACATATGCACAAGACAAATTTTAGGAAAGTGTCATAGTTTGCAAATGGGGGGTGCCACCTCCCAATGGGCAATATGTGACCACCTAATGGCAGCCTTGATGGGTTAACATTGACCGGTTTGGAAATTAAGTTAAAATTACCATATATAAGAGTCTGAAACGTAAAGAAAAAAACATTAATAGGTGTATCAAACATAAAATATGTTATATAGGTACCTATGGTAATTTTAACTTATTTTCCAAGCCGGTCAATGTTACCCCGTCATGGCTGCCATTAGGTGGTCAAAGTTCCCCCATTGGGGGGCAGCACCCCCCATTTGCAAACTATGACACTTTCCTAAAATTTGTCTTTAGCATATGTAACTAGAAGAGTTCTACTACAATGCATCAAAACCTGGAGTTATTTTACCAAAAAATAAAAAATTGGAGGGGTACTCCAACAGGCTTTAAATAATAGCTCTTTTTCGTGGGTCACATTATTAATTTTTAACCTATTAGATATGCAAACTTTTGAAATCTTTCTATTGTGTTACATAGCCTCAGACAGTATTGGGCCTTTGATGGCCATGGGCAAAATTTTTCTATGTCAAATCGTTTTGGGTTTTTTTGTTAAAAAAACGAAAAGTGGTCAAAGTTACCCCGCCGCCTGCCGGTCAAAGTAACCATATTTTAAGGTTAGTTGTAACTTGTAATTGTAAACGCTGCATATCAGCCAAATCTGAGCTCTTATAGCCAAAAAAACTATTAATATTCTCAACTCAAGTCAATTATAGTAATCACTCCTTACGTTTTATTGAAAATTTATTACATTACAACTACAAGGCCCTAAGATGAGGCTAGTACCAACTACCAAGTAGGCACTAGGGGACTAGGCAACATGGTGGCAGGGAATTATTGTGAGTACTTATCAGTCCACCACCGTGCGGCGGTCTTAACCCTTCGCAAGGCCCCATGCCCTTGGCCCTTGGGCCCCTCTTGCAAGTTGCAATGGACTAAACTCAACAGTTCGACCCCATGGTCTCATCACAACTCCCTTTAGAAATATGTGGAGTTTCGAAATTGATAGTAATAAATCAATAAATATTTGAACTGGGAAATTCCTCAGTTACTTACGTTGGTTCCACAATGATATCAATGACGTAAAAAATGACAATTACATTGGTTAAGCATCAGCCATGATTCTAGCTTTGCTCAGTCCTTACACTCTTACCTCGTAATTCATGATGTTAGAACTTCAATATTCAAATGTTGACACTACTGTCAAGTGTCAATATCACAATCAAAATTATTTCACAATCAGAAATATATTATAATATCACAATCGAAAATATTATTCACAAATAACCATCCATTTCAATGCCAAACTGGACCCATCTTCACGCTAGCCATATGTAAACATACCGTAAAATGGGGTAACTTAGACCGGCGGGGTAACTTAGACCACTTTTCGTTTTTTTAACAAAAACCCCCACAACTCAAAAACTATTTGACATAGAAAAATTTTGTCAATGGGCATTAAAGGCCTAATACTGAGGCTACATAACACAATAGTATCACGGCTGGCAAATCCATAAAACCACGGCTCGAAAAATTCAGTCGCGGCTCGCCAAGTAGATATATTCCATACTAGCTTGGAGCTCTGCTAGACTTATTAGTATGTTGCTGCCCCCAAGCCCCAACACACTATGGGTGTATGGTCTAGTGTCTACGGACCAATACAATTATATGTGTTATATGTCTGTGTGACCACACACTTGCTGAGGGTCTCAGTCTCACAGCCAAAAGCTGCGTGTGTCCAGAGATGATCTTGTTGCAAAGTACAAGTTTCTTGTATATTTACATGCATACATCGATCTCTGACTCTCTGTCATAGTAGATTCACCATGCCAGCCTGCAATAAAAATTGTGATTAGATAAGAAAATACTAAAGGACGTTCACGTTGTGCTGCCGGGATCTCAGCTCCCAAGGCTGTGTTCAAGTTCCAAGGGACTCCAATGCAAGGCAGAGGCAGTGGTTACGTCACGTGGTAAAGGCTGCTCTAGGACCTGCAAATCTAACACCAACAAGCATGAAATGTAAGATGGCGTCCTCCTGGTGACAAACAGAGCAGTTTGAGTCATGTACCATCCCAAAGCCCGCCCGATGTGCTCTAACGCCCGCGTGGCCAAGGCGTTAACGGTCCACTGCACTCCGAGACTCGGGCCGACTCCGACTAGAAGACGCTGAGGTGGCGAACGAATGATCAATGGCATGCCGCGGCTGAACGAATTCCGCAAATCTATCATGAAGTAAAGTACCGGTTTTAATAATAATAATAATGCGGTTTGAGCATTTATTAGGCCGTAGGTCTGTCCCCGATTCTTAACATCGCGGAACACTCACAGCATTTTGCGGTCTCGAACTCGCAACTCACTGCTACAATTCTGCTGTGCTTAACCGCGCGGCCTCCTCGCTGATTCTGACCAGAAACTAAATTTGAGACACTGAATCGACACTTCTCCGGACCCGCCTGCGAACTCAGCTCAACCGAAGGACTCATAACTCCTGCTTGACTCATAACTCCTCAAGGATTTGCTTGAATTTTGGAATAAAAGTTGTTATTATTGATACGGTGCGGCAGGAATTATAACAGATTTTTACATAAATTAGTTTGTAATTAAAAGTAATAAACGTGTTTTTTTATCAACCGATGGACACATAACACCTACAATACTGAACGGAGCTCCTTGAATTTTGGAATAAAAGTAGTTATTATCGATACGCTATGGGAGGAATTATTACAGATTTTTACATAAATTCGTTTTCAATTAAAATTATTAAACGTATTTTTTAATCAACTGAAGGACTCATAACTCCTACAATACTGAACTGATTTGCTTGAATTTTGAAATATAAGTAGTTATTATCGATACGCTGCGGCAGGAATTCAGTGTCCGACTGGTCGCACAGAGCTGGTTCGAACCCGCACCTCTCCGCCATAATCGTGGTACTCTGCTGAACTGTAACCACTGGGCCACCCTATATTTTGACTATCCTATGCTGAAAAAAATAAGTCCTAAAACTTGGCATGTCATCTCGCTGCGTATATAGAACCTGAAGCAATCGTCAGATTTTGCTGGAAATGACAGGAGATAAGAATAAAAGATCGTTGAATTTGTTTAAGTAGACACCGGGTAGAACCGTCTTATTCAATATAATATCAAAGGTCGTGTTTCCTTTGACACCAGTGATGTAGAGTGATAATGTATTACAGCGTCAGCTCTTAATATTACGGAATAACCCGATTCTCCACCACTTTCGATCGATCCAATGTTTGCCACGTATTCTGCACGCACTCAGCGTCATTTGTGAGAGAGTCAGCCGCGTTCATCGAGTAAACACCTATAGTGTCTTACGTCCTTGATTGTGTAAAAGCTAACTTGCAAGTAATCGCTTAGAATTAATTACAAACAGGGCCTGGACTGTACTTCTATATATACCGCGAGTATATAAACCAAGGGTACGTCCGGCACTAAGAACCCGGCTGGCTTTCTCGCCCCTCCCCCCTCCTCTTGACCTCTTCTCTTCACGAGAAGAGTCCGTGTGTGTGTTTTCTCTCTGTTTCAGGTTTTTGTTTTCAGAGCTGTTAAAGCAGTTAGGTACAAATTAAACCCAGTTTAGGCAAGGGGCTTTATGGACTAGTTTCCAGTGCTCCTATAAGAATAAATAAGAAAGAAAAAGAAAAGAAAAGTCATTTGTTGTGACTTGTCAGTTGTCACCTAGAGAAGCAGCGGCGTTTATACGGTAAACATCTTATGATTGTGCTCTGTAAATTGTAATTACTGGAATTTCTCTGAGATGATACTCAGAGGAATTAATACTCAACGCAATACTTACTACTTAGAATACCCAAAAATTCATCAACTTGATTTTGAATTCACTTTTCTCAGTTTTCTGTATACTACAAGGATATAAGACTTATAAGTCAAGTAACATAAACATAATGATCTCGGCGCTGAAGCATAGCCCTGATGTGGCTGTGTGGCCTGTCGCCGATTCTTTTCCTTTTTTGTGCCTTGTTCACAGAAGATCTAAAAATTGTGTCATTTGACTGGATCTTTTCATGACTGACAATACTTGACTTGACTTGACAAGTTAGACGCTTGAGGCCTTTCTCAGAGACCTGTTCGTCTCTCCGAGACTATACTAACTTTGTAATATTAGCAAAATTCGGGGGCGGTTGGATTGCAAAAAAAAGTTAGTGTCTAGTTCTGGCATGATGGAGCATAGAGAGTAGGCAGATGAAGCCAATGTTTATCGAGGCGACTCTTGAAAGTATCCACAGATGGTGCTTTGACGACATTCTCGGGCAAGCTGTTCCAGTTTGTGACAATGCGCTGAGAGAAAAAGTTACCTCTAATGTTCAGTCTGAAGTGGCTCTTTTGGATTTTTAGAGAATAGTTTGAAGTTTGAACTTTGAAGTAGCTAGTACTAAACTTCCACCGAGTTTGATAAGGTGCTAGGCCGGATCTGCCGGCAATAAAACCATGTTGACAATCTGATATGAGATGGTGAGCAGTCAAGTGATCAATAATCCTATCCCTCGCAACAGATTCCATTAGCTTACAAGCAACACTTGTCACACTGAGTGACAGGGCGATAGTTGCTGGGGCTGCTTTTGTCACCTTTTTTGAACAATGGTGTTACTTGAGCTTCTTTCCAGTCGCAGTTGGATGGCAAAGTTCCTTCGTTCAAGGTTTTTTGAAAGAATACCGGTACTGTCAATGGGCTGGCAGTTGCTAATTCTTTGAGCAATCTGGGACATCTGTGAACACACTGCTGAAGAACTGATTAGAACATTAGCCTTGCCCTCATCAGAGGAAATCTTTTGTTGGTCTATTTTCAAATCAGATATAGGTATACCTACTGTTTTTTGACTTACACTTCAAACTAGCGTACAAAAAGAAGGCTTTCAGATTCTTTTTGGCATTTTTAGCAATATTTTTTTCGAAGATTTTCAATGCAGTGCAACAAACTTTTTTAGCTTGATTTTGAGCTCTGGCAGACTGGCATACAGGTTATAATCAGAATCGCTGCAAGTTTGTAAATAACGCTTGTAGGCTTCTTTCTTGGTCTTTAGCTGAGTCTTAACTGCACTGTTCATCCACTGGGACTTTTTGTGTCTGATTTCATCTTCAAGAACCCGGCTGGCATTCTCGCCCCTCCCCCCTCCTGGCCTCCTCAGCTCCTCTTCTCTTCATGAGAAGAGGCAGGAGGCCAGGAGGTAGGACTTATTAATCTAGGAGACTAGGATATTACACTACAGTACTTGCTAAGTTGCTATACAATTGAATTTCCCTAGAATTCCATCCTGAATTAATTTCAGGGACCAGGGAGCATTAGGGAGGAAAACTGGAATTCAGCTCTGTAGCTGTAGGCTGCATAGCTGTATTACCTCTTGCAAATTTCAGCCACATGACCAACGACTAAGTAACTATTAATATGAGTGATGTTATTAAGCTACTGTATTTGGTACTAGTTGATGAAAAAAATTACTTATATTTTTCCCAGGCAGTATATCTCTGTTTTTTGGTAACATTGGTTGCTAGCCTTGAATACATCCACTGTTTGCACTTTACTCTCTCCACGAGTTTTTAGAGGTCAAACTTGAAGTGAATACAAACACATTTTATTTAATTTCACAATGAATTCATCAAGTGTTACTGTTAGTCCAACTCCTGGGAACTTGTTGGATGAATTTGAAGAAGCTTATCAGGTGGGTTTTGTAATTTGTATGTTTTGGGAGAATATTTTTGTTAGCTGATGTTACTATTGTTCATATGAGACTTGAGTCATTTGTTCTCACTTCCAAAGTAGTTGTCTGCTATCTTTATTTTGCTATGCAATAAATATGCATAGATTGGTATTTTGGCATCTTATATGTGACAAATCTTAGAACATGCCTGAATTTAGCACCCATGTTTACACTTTGAGCTAACTCACACAACTCTTTAACTCTTCCCCTTTTTAAAGAACTGCTTGGCTCCACTGATCCGTGAAGACCCCCTAACTTGTGTTGAAGAATCTGAACTGCGCACTAATGCTGAGGCCAACACAGCACACTTCATTGAAATGGGACGAGCTATGCAAGCTTTCTTCCTGCAGAAAAGATTCCAATTGGCTGCTCAGAAGCCTGAGCTGGTCATGATGGAGGTAATAGTTTTTTTCAGATGAATACCATTCATCATTGCTCCTATAAATTGAGTTATTATGCATTGAAAATAAAAATTTTCATATGCACCAGCTTCAGGTCAACTTTGCCATTTGCAAGTATTATGAGGCTATCTTCAGCTTTTACTATAATATTATTGTCAAGCATATCTGCACATGATGTTTTATTATCTAGTGTTGTGCCTATTAGTTTTGAGACATACCTAGGTTTTCATAAACTTTCATCTAATTATGATGTTGTATTGCAGGATGCTGCTGAGCTACGCGGGGAGCTTGTGCGCAAGGATGAGCTCATTAAGAAGCAAAGCGAGAAGCTAGTCGAGTGGCAGGCAACCATTGCTTCTATGCTCTCAAGACCTGGTTAGAATTACTTGTACGCTGCATCCACAAAAACCAGTATTAGTTAATTGTTGAATTTTCTTACCTAAGCTCCCTACCTGATCCCCAAAAGGCATCATTGGTAGAGAGAAAAAGAAAAAAATGTTTACCTATCCGTTGCCTTTTTCAACAAAAAATAATTTTTAAATTTTCTAAGTGATACCTACTAGTGAAATTATTTTTACCTATATCTTTCTCTGAAAGTGTATATGTACATCAATATTTGCTGTTTTAATTTGTACACTACATTGTATTATGTTGTAACTTTTGAAATTTCTATTTGGAAAAATTTGTATCAATTGATAAAATGTGCTGATGATATGATTATTTGCTATCCAGGTGCAACCACCCCCTCCACCTTAGCCTCCTCCATCCCTGCCCCTCCCTACACATCCTCAGTGCCATCCTCCATGCAAGCTGGCACTCCAGGCCTTGTTGGCACCATGTCATCAGTGCCTCCAATGGCAGGTAGCTGCAGTTAATCATATTTTTGTGTTTTCAATCGACAGGTCAAATTGTGGAACAGAATTTAGCCTCATCTAATCGAAAGCACCAGTTCTTTCAGCAGAAATTAATGTGTTCTGAGCGCAAGCACGCTGCCCCTTTTTCTAGAATTGCATCGTTGTCCAAAAATGTTGATAATGCCTTGAAATTAGTATCAAGCAACAACTTCTAAGAGCATGCTTCCCTTATAATTTCCTTGTAAATATTTTATGGAGCTGGAACCTGTTGATGTTGACCTGTGCACCTCCCGTGATAATAATCCGTAGCTTGAGTTATTATTTTCTCAATGCAAACTTCTAGTGAAAGTAATGTAAGTTACTGCACAAGAATTTCTAACCCGTGATGTTTAATGAACTTGACATACGGTTGTAGTGGCAAGTGTATTACATAAATGTTATCAATTAAACCATTCACTTGTTGAATAGCAATTTTTTAGGGTAATCTTGGGTCGCCTGAGTGGTTAACATCACTGAGATTGGAACAGTGAGTTGGGGGTTTGAGATAAGTTGTGAAAACAAGTTCTGAAAATTAGTTTTAGTCAAATACTACAAGTTTTGTGAGAAATTTTGTAAAAATTGACAAGGTGGGTTGCACAGCGGTTAACGCCACTGTGCATAGTGATGGCGGCGCTGCGATGAGAGGAGCTAGCTGAGGGTGTGAGCCTCGGGAAGCTTAGCTCATTTATTTATGTCGCTGGTGAGCAGCTTTTAGTAGCCGGCTATTGGTGGTGCTTACAGCGTGGCCACGAGTTGGTGTCCCTGAACAAAATCTGGGTACGTTTTACCTGGTGGTATCTTAGAGTAAGGCAGGTGCTTAAGCCTTGGCTACAGGCCAACATTGCGTAATGAAAGCTGACTTCCCCTATAAACATTTTAACTAGTTACCAAAATATAAACTATTACTAATTGCCACTAGTATATACACTATAACAATTGACCAGTGCAAGGAGCTGGAGGTGGCATGATGGGGGGAGGACGCCCCGCGTCAGGAGGTTGTCTCATGACAGGCTCCCATGCTGGGATGGGGCAAGGCCAGCACATGATGGGCAGCCCCATGGGCGCTGCATGTCAGGTGACTACTTATTCTTGCATCATTCGTCTTATTACTTATTTGCATCAGTATTAAGGTTTCCGTATTCCTGAAAAGATATCAACATTGAAGCGATTCGATTCATGTCACGTGTACGACGTGAAATTTTAGAGTATTTGAGAAGGGTGAACCTATTGTAGCACAAAATATTTTATCAGGTAAAGTGAAACCGGTACATCCTCTTTTGAACGAACTATTTTGATCATAATGCAGTCTCGTTTCCTGTTGAAAAATGCTTATTTTGGCCACGTTTTACAGTAGATTACGGTAAGTTTTAAAGTGATCAAACAAATACGCTGATGCGAGCGCCTTCGATTCACGCCACCAGTTTGTGATCTAATGTGTTAATTGCTGTTAATTTCTGGTTCAAATCTCTGCCTATTGCAACATTTGGTATTATCAATGCCATTTGTACCTGAAGACTTGGTAATTAAAGTTTCTGTAGGTATATATTAAAGTTACTGTATCTATAGACCACAGTAAGTGGTCTATAGATATCATCATTGTATCGGTTATAATTTTCATTCATTTTAACACTCGTAGCTTCTTCCCAATGTTCTTCTCTTGGTTCTCTATTAAAGTTTTTCTTCATTTACAGATGGGCCCAAGCAGCATGGACTGTGGCAGAGGAGGAGGTGTGAACATGATGGGTGGTGGGGGAGGGGGCAGCTCCCCCCACATGTCCATGGGTTCAGTCAACTCCCCCAGCAGCGCCATGATGCAGGCTCAGCAGGTAGGGCCACAGCAGCAGCTGATGGGTGGCGTCTACAAGTGAGCCGCCGCTTGCCGCTCATGTCTGTGCCTCTTAAATCTTTGCCATCTGTTTAACTATCTGATATATAGGAACATTGAGAGAGGTCCTGCTACAATTGGATTATTTCTATGGCTGGTATTGAGAACTATAAGTTGGTTTCTAATTCGTTAGTGCTGAAATTCCTGTTCCATCTTCGATTCTGGTTTGTAGTTTACTGCATTCATAATGGATTATATCAAGTTTGAGCCTTGAGATCTTAATTTATTGTCTAGTATTCTCTCTGTCAAAGGGCATATTCTCTCTCAATCGCACTTCTTTCATTCTGGTTTCTGATTTATTATGTATCGAATAATCTGGCTCTCTGAACGATAGCTCTTAGTAATAAAGTCAATGGTCTTTGTAAACTGTTTACAATGTTAGCCATTGATGGAAATTCATAACTAATTTCTATAAAGATATCTGGGAATGAAGCGTCAAAATTATTATTAGCAAACGTAAATATTATTATTACGTAAATACTGAACTAATGCAGCTTTGCTGATACAACTGTGAGCTAGGCATTTATGTCAAGTATCGTGCTTCTATTGTTGGCAATTTTGTCAAGTATTGGACTTCTATCATCATTGGCAATTACCTATGTCAATTAGGTCATATGTGACCTAGCCACCACTTTGCTCTGATAGTTGTGACGGATGATTAGGTATAGATTATGTTTCAGCCTCTTGAATTTGACGTACTTCAACGTCTTTGTTGTGGATTACGTCCTGGACGTTGTGCCGTTTCTGCTATTGAATATCGTTTGGACGTTGCAGATATCTTCTCTTATATATGCTAGTGCGTTGAGGTCCTCGACAACGTAGCACAAATATCGCTATTATATGCTAAGTTGGTTGTGTTCTGCACACTCCGTCCTATGTGTTGTTGTGGCCCCGCATGCTGGCCACATTCCGTCCTATGTTGTTGTTGTGGCCCCGCATGCTGGCCACATTCCGTCCTGTGTTGGCTTCGTCAGAATTCTTATGTGTTGATGGTTGGAGTGTTATTGAAACAATTGGTGAGTTGGTGCCCAGGGCCTATACTTTCAAAAAAAGTTAAGAGATCGTAAGTTCATCAGCCAATCATTGACGGCCTTTCAAGCAAAATCCTCCAATCATAGACAAGAAAATAAAGCGTAAGTACTTACGTTAACTTAGAGAGTTTTGAAAGTATGGCCCCAGGCCTCTTCGAAGGTAATTTATGTTGAGGGTTTAGGATTGTTGATACAATTGGTGCGCTGAAGAGAATTTACATCGTCCTTTAATAGCGGTCCTGCCGCAACCCACCACGCCGGGTCTTTGGTGTCCTAAATGTTTCACCAGCAACTTGGGTTTACTTATTGATAATCAGTCACGTTTTTATATTTTGGCGTTTGCCTGAAGAATCTTTTGACTTGGATCGTCCTTTGAACTCCCAAGGAGTCGGTGTTTGTGCAGCTGTCATGTTGCATGCAACTTTAACTTGAAAGGTCGATTCCAATGAACGTCTAAGAATGTCTCTTAGGAGGATCCAATTAATGTTGATCCTTTTAACCATCCAAATTTATGATGGTTTAGATCAGATGTGCTCTGCTGTTGATTCTAATATGCCTTAAGCGGTAAAAATGTGCCATTGCTGCTGACGTATTCTCATTGTTGCTCAAAGCTTCTTATCTATAATTACATAAGGTTTTAGTTGTGAGGTTAGTGTAGACTAGACAAATGTTGCGACTAAAGTTGGAATTGATAAAACGATTGAGAATAAAATAGATTTAGTTATTAATCAATTAATTAATTTTTTAATGACGTGTGCTGGTGATCTTCATGATGCTTTGAATGTGACATCGATGCTTTACTGCGTCTTGCTTCACTAATGTTAGTGAGAGTGTCGTTTGTGTTATTATGAAGTAATAGTGTAAGTCATCTACGTAATGTATATGGTAGAATATATTCACATGTTCGTTGTACAGTCAGGACTTTAATTTAAATTCACTCATCATTCATACTTGTATGGATAGGCATCCTGGGCCTATACTTTCAAAAAAAGTTAGGAGATCGTAAGTTCATCAGCCAATCATTGACGGCCTTTCAAGCCACTCTTTTAAAAACAGTTAAGAGATCGTAAGTTCATCAGCCAATCATTGACGGCCTTTCAAGCAAAATCCACCAATCATAGATCAGAAAATAGAGCGTAAGTACTTACGTTAACTTAGCGAGTTTTGAAAGTATGGCCCCTGGACTGAAGTGATTCTGAGTGCACTGTTCAGTGTGATAAAAACTACCTACCGAATGTGATGACTTGAAGTGCCAATATTGCTAAGCAGCCGCGCTCACTCTAGTACGAAGCTATTATTTACCGATGATATTATATTGATCTGTTTGGTTGAGTGCAATGTAGAGCACCTTGAGGTATTCTCAGTGACATGCGATGAAGATAATTTATTTCCTGCGCACAGAGAAATGACAAAAGTCGGCGTCCAAATATCTATACACTTCTTGCAATTGTGTATGTCATCTTACCAAGTGTGAGACGGCAAAATTAGTGTATCAATTTCAGGACCGCTCTCTGCTTGTGGTAAGAAAGTGGGTCATTAGTTAGACAATTTGACCCATTCGTTTCTGAATTCAACCTTTTCTTCCGCCTAAAAAATCTTCAGTACATGGAGAAATGTGGAAGTCTTAGACGATAAACAAGTCGACCCTTGCTAACTATTAACCATACAAAAGTCTAGGAAGAACTTGTACACAAAATGCTTCAAGTTTTCTACTGTGTCCAGGAAAATGAAGTGCCAATGTCTCGTGTAGCTTAATTGTATCTTTAGTGGTGTGACTCATTGTTACGGACGTTGACAACTAACTGGGATAAGCATTATTCAGGAGTTAGTGTTACATTGTTCAAAATAAACTAATGTTTGATGAGTACTTCTCATTATCCTAGCCATTAAGCTACTGTATACCTTATAGGCGGCAGCGAAATAGCACTTTTCGTTAGGGTTAGTGGTCTAATGAAGAATAGTGAATGATGATGAATAATGATGAGTGATTACTGGTCTAATGAAGAATAGTGAATGATGATGATGAATAATGATGAGTTATTAGTGGTCTAATGATGAATAGTGAATGATGATGATGAAAAATGATGAGTTATTAGTGGTCTAATGATGACGGTTGTATGTATGCGCTACTGTATGTACTTTTCTTTATACTGGTATAAGCTCACAGATTCTCAAGAGTTAGAGGTGTCGGCGTACACATGTTGCTCCTTGTCGATGTTCTAGGTTGGTTTGCAGGACGTGTGGGTTTTTCTTTATGACATTTTGGCCTCGCTGCAGTCTTCGCTATGCTCTGTCGGCTCAAGTTCCTCCTCCGATGTAGGAAGAAGCGTAGGGGTCCACCAGTTACAATATGTATTTTTGAGTTGTCTCGTGGTCGATTTGTAGCCGCGGTAGCTGCTAACTTTTTGTTTCGGTTGATTTGTGGCCGCGGTAGCTGCTAACTTTTAGTTTCGGTTGATTTGTAAACGCGGAAGCTGCTAACTTTTTATTTCGGTTGATTTGTAAACGCGGAAGCTGCTAACTTTTTATTTCGGTTGATTTGTAACAGCGGTAGCTGCCAACCGTTAGTATTGGTTGATTTGTAGCCGCGGTAGCTGCTAACCTTTAGTCCTGTGTTGCAGGGAGCGTCAGTGCCCACCGGTTACGGGGGAGTCTCTGTCGTGCCCGGCAACACAAACATCATGGGCAGCTATGCTGGTGGAGGAGTCATGGGCAGGGCTGATGGTTCCTATGGAGGCATGGCCAGAGGATCTGTGCCTGGGGGACTGCAAGGCCCTCTCGCCTACCTCGAGAAAACCACCACTAACATAGGCATGCCTTGAGCAGCGTTTAGGCTGCCCTAGATCTCAATTCTGTTCCTATTGCATTTATCTAGGATAGTAGGACCTAGAGAGGCCTTTGTAGTTGCTATTGGGCTTCCTAGATCTCGGTATTTGGTTCCTCTTGGTTGCTGCACGAATACGCGCCTTGTATGCGAGTTGAGATAGTACAAGTGATACCAAATCTGCACCTTCAGCATTTTCATCAGTAACATTCGTGTGATTTCAAGCAGTGTCCGTGAAGTTCTCGGTATTAAACTATAATTTAATGTTAATTATTTAAATAAGTTCACGACATTTAGCATCGTTGAACAGTGAGGCGTTTCAACTGTTGAGTTGTTCCGGCCGTGGGAGGCTTGGAATGTCCATGCATTCCTTTATTGGATTTTGGTCCTTCGGGCCCTGCATTCAGCCGAGGTCGTGTGTAGAGAGTGACGATATCAGAGAGATTGTAATTAGAGAGTGACAATATCAATAGAAATTGAATGTGTAGAGTAACGAATTCAGGAGAGATTGTAAGTGTAGAGTGACGAATTCATCAGAGATTGTAAGTGGAGAGTGATGATATCAGTAGAAATTGTATGTGTAGAGTGACGAATTCAGGAGAGATTGTAAGTGTAGAGTGACGAATTCATTGGAGATTTTAAGTGGAGAGTGATGATGCTCGCTTTAGAATTTTACGTGCTATGCTTTGTCTCAATGGTCAGTATTTAATTGTATTTATTTTTTATTTGTTTAGTGTTAGGTTGCATTGGGTTGTATATCATCTGGTGACTCTAGTCTTTTTTAGTTATGCTAAATTCGGCCCTGCGCGCCCACTCCGTTAATCCTCATCGTTTTTTTCGATGTTTTCGACCTAACGGTGTTGTTCTCAGTATTGCCAATTCGGTGGAATTTTCTACAATAGGTGAATGCACCTTAGTTTTTTCTACGTTTTATAGTAAAATGAATATTCCTGACTGAATTTTCTTGCATTTTAAGTAATGGAGAACTTAGTACTGAACGACTTTAATTAGTTATGATTTCGAGTGGTTAATATTGAGAAAGGTTATGTAAACAAGCTATCGACATTTTACAATCTTTACTTTAGTCTGGAATACGATATCCTGCGAGACTGGCTCGTGTAACGATGTTGCCCATTGCATGAACATCATTAATTTATAGGCAATGGTAATAAACGTATGCATTAAAATTCTGAGTCAAGTATCATAAAATTTTAATTTGATAAAGTTTTCTTAGCGCAAAGCGAACAAACAACATCGTGCTGATCACTCATCGTCGCGAACCTTTAGTTTATTGGAAACGTATAATGTTTTGCTATTTGCTTAGAGCTACTAAGTTGGTGCGAAACAAATCACTTCCAAAAAAAGCAAATGCTAGAAATTTATTCACGTGATGACGTCCAGCATTGGTATTCGTTAAGGAGCAGATTTTAAGCGTTACATTCAAGAAGCAACTTGCTCAAGGCCTGTACTACGAACTGCCACACCGCATCGTTGCAGGTCATAACTTTAGTACTCGTACCATTCCAGCCAACTGCTAACATCAATACACCATCACACAACTCACAGTCGAGGTGAACCGGTGAGTAGTGCGCCATTTATGGTTCACTTGGACCATGATTGGACGAGTAGTGTTTCGGTTCTCTGTAGGAAGCTAAGGGTCGTACAATCGAAAAAAGTTACGAGTTCGTACCTCCGTCAGCAAATCACGACGGCTTTTCAAGCTAAACCCACCAATAACTGACCCGAAATCGGCCGCTATGTGTACTTGAGGGAGTTTTGATAGAAAGGCCCCTCGTCTTCCCGACCATACCGACATTGAAATTTAATATAAACCTAGACTGTATTAATGATAGCAACAAGGAGTAACAGTCTCAGCTCGCTTAATTCACTGCACTTAGAGTGGAACCTTTTATTGGAACCTAATGATAAACGACTCTGTTTTTCTGTTGCGGTCCCCCATACTCTGGTTCGTCGCAGGTAGGAAGGCAAGTCACAGGCCGTGCAGGTAGTCATTGCACTACCAAGTCCTCACTGTGCAGCGGATGTGATATATGGTCAACCTTCGTTGCAGTGGATGATTGCTATGACCCTCCATAGCCATAGAAAATATACCTCATAGTGGAGACGGGACAGTCATATTGCTTCTGAAACTTGAGCTGGGATGAGCGCAGTACTGTAGAAGCTTGGCAAACTAGAGATTAATGCCCACTGTAGTTAACTAGTAGAACAGGAAATGATAGGTTCGTGATCTAAGACGTCTTGATTTTTCTAATCAAAATAAAAAGTGGTTGGGTTCCCCCACATTCCCTCACAGCTTGTTGAACATAGCCTTTCTTTCTTACTCACGTCCACTGCTCGTTAATTTTTGGGCGTTCAAGGCTCTTGTTAAATTTATTTAATTGCTCACCGAGCGTAAAATTTGAAACTTATCACCAATATTTATCAAAAATCTGATCTCGAGGCTCGAAGACTAAATGAGTGGCTATTCGAAAGATGGATTCTACTCATGAACGCCTTAGGAGGTCCAGTTTATTAAGTCAATTATCGTCTGAAAGTTACAATTTTAGACTACATTTCTTTCGAATAAAAAGAATGTGGTGCATCTGGCGGCGCGCTAATGCAGTATTTCATGTTAACACGAAGGAAATTTCGGCGAGCCCCACTAATTGCTCATCAACGACCGTGCGAACTGACCGAGCCAGAGCGAGAAACTTTGAAGACTGTCGGTTCGAGAACCAGTGAACTGAAGGTAAAAAATGTGCAGTTGAGTTCAAACGCATATCGTTTTCTAATAAAAGTCTAAGATTTATCTCAACTTAAATGCAACACAATATTTTTTTTTGTTTTTCAGCAAGTCAAGAAACCGTTCGCGAACCTTCAGCCTAATAACCTCGTATCTTTCTTACAAACGAATATGGCAAAACAAAATACATTTACATCACAGTCACAGCACGTCTGAAATATCTGCTTACTTCCTTATGAGCTACCTTGGTTCCAGAAAATTGCATCCAAATATAATTTGGCATTTGAACAGAAATTTAGTTCGTACCAATTAAACTGTACTATATATTGCTTAGCATTGCCGAATCGAGTTTTCTGACTTCACTATTGACTGTCACTGAAATAATGTCTTTTAATGCCATAAATTATGCGCTGAATACACGCGTCCTCAGGGCACCTAATTATTACTTCTATGGAAAAATATGCATTTAAATAACAGGAACTAAACCAACATCTTCAGTAGCTCTGGCGGCTCCGTAGGTTCGCTGATTTCGTCAGGACTCTCGGTCGTGACGTCAGCCACGCCCTGCGACGCCAGCGTGGTGGTCTCGCTGAACGCTGGCTGGGACTCCGTCGCGATGGGTGGTGCTGTGGTCTCTTCTGCAGGGCTCAGTCTCGGGTCTAGAGACAAGAAATTGAGGAGTGCTCTCTGGACGAGGAGTGGATCAACATCGTGAGCTGCTTCATACCTCACGCCGTTAACGTCGCCGGTGATGGGATCCACGACGATGTAGTCGCCGTTGATGGATCCGTCAGGAGCCGTCACTTGGACGTGGTAGCGGCCGTCAATGCCGTCTTGTGCTTCCTCGTCAAGCGACGTTGAAACATTTGATGTGAGGTTGCCTAGAGGAGCTAATCCTTCTGGCGACAAGCCGAACGGCTTCTCCCCAAGCGGTGTTTCACCGAAGGGCTTCAATCCAAAAGGCGTCTCACCGAGGGGCGCTATGCCAAGCTGCGACTCCAACTTCCTGGGGTTCCGCAAGTCGAGAGGAGAAGTGGCTGCTTCGGTGTGAGTTTTGCTAGTGCTGAAAGTTACATTTTTATGAATCGCTCCCGATGGTACAGCGATTGAACTTGAAGTGGCTGGGGGGCTGTCAGCTGCCTCTGCAGTGACGTTCTTGTCTATAGTTGAGTCGACTTGTTTCTTCTGGAAGACTGGCTCTGATGCTAGCTTTTCTGCAACTTCCAAGTTAGCCGGTGCATCTGAAGACAGGGAAGAGTCTTTAATTGGAGTGATAGTATTGGAATTTCTTACTTCTTTAAGAGGAATTTGCGCATCCGAATTTTTTGTTTGTTGCTCCGGTTGTGACGTTGATGTCAAATTAGTAATGGACGAGGTTGCAGATTCGTCTTCCGTCGATAGGGTGGTGGTGCGTTGGTTTTGTAATCTTTCGTGAAGCGAAAGATGTCTTCTTCTGACGGTCTCTTCTTCGTTCTTAGCGAAGTGCCTGAAGATCGGAAATTCTTTGAGGATGTCTCGCGGTGCGTTCTGGTCACGATTACTTTCATGCTGTCGCCTGTTCCGGAACGAAGCTATTGCTGTCATGGGCGCTGCAGGCTGCGATGAAGGAGGCGCTATCGAAAACAGGTGGACATGCTTGGTTTCGACTCCCTCCAGCATGGGCATTATCCGCCCTTGCAACTTTGGCAGGGATATAAGGTTCCCCGAGAGCAACTTGGACAGGCTGATGGTCGACGCGTTAGAACCATCCGACAGAACTGTGAAGTTCATATCAGGATCGACCATGCTTCTTTCGCTTACTATGGACACCCTTTCGTTTGTTGTAGCATGCGTCGTTGGCCCTGAAGAATCAATGCTAGAATTCGTGGTTTTAGTTTGATTTCCTGTCGAAGATTCCACCTTAGCCGTGGATTCTTTATTAGGGGCAGGAGTAGTGAGGATTTCAGTTCCATTAATCGCTTTGGAATCGGCTGTTGAAGAAGCTAACAAGGCTGCCATCTCGTCATCATCGTAGTAGAAATAGTTATAATCGTAGTTCTCTGATAGAAATACAAAATCATCGAGAGAGGGAAGTGTCGTTTCATTCACGATGGTACTTTTTGACACATTATTGCTGACGTTTAAGTGAGTCGCAGGCGTTGAGGTTGTCACTGTCATCTCAGGACCATCGCTGCCTCCAAAGAGCGCCCCGTCCCTCTGGTCCAACCTGTCCCAGAACTCGCGCTGCTCTTTACTAACGCGACGACGCCGGAAATGCCGTGAATCTTTCAACGCACTGCGGTTTAGTTTTCGCCTGAGCGTCGACTTTTCGTTGACGGGGTTCAATAAATTATGCTCAGGAGCGAGCGATGTGTTTATATTTTCATTTTTTAAGTCAACTGTGAGATTAGATTTTACAAATTTAGTTTCTCTGACAGAATCTTGTTGTAAACTGTGTGGCTTGTCACTACTCTGCCTCGACTTCATCCTCGACATTGGAGGGATGTCTCTTCTGACGTCGACAGTACCGCCATTTTGAAGCGGTGCTCCATGCCTTAAGCTTTTCGATGCACGACCATTGAATTTTTGTGAACCTATTCTAGATTTTATTGGGGTAGGAGGACCTCCACCCTGTGGTGGTAGCGGCGGGGGAGGCGCTGCTCTGAGGGGCGAGGGTGCGGTCGCTGTGGACTCGGCATCCTCCCCTGCAGTGTCGCTGCTTTCGGCCGCTGCTGTCACTCGACCTCCTGCAGCTCCCAGCGGGATGCAAGCCTGCAGACAAATATTTATTGTTACAATAATGTAAAATATATCACCTATCAAAAATTATTCACCTTTTGTGCCTTAAATAAAGTTTTTGAAATCTAGATACATTTTTGTTGGGAGTCGTTGAAACATGTGAAGTATTTGTTGAATTTAAAATCATTAGTGTAAATTTTTTACTAAATATTTCTTATGGTGCGTGTATGTCGTACACAACTTAGTTACAGTTGATTTTATTTCACGCATTTGTTTTTAGTTCGATGCTGGCTCTCGACTTATCTGGTTGAAGGGAGCATTTAGTACGTCTTTAAATTAGGAATCGTGTTCTGAATATTTATCATAGTTTCTAGATCTTTTGTGTTCGAATTAACGTATTTTACTCGTCAACTCATGCGCAATACTATTTTATGCGCAATTATTTTACTATTATTGTTGTTTGGTTCACAGAAACCTGTAAAAATAAGAAGTTC